CCTGATGCCGCTAAGGCTTACGTCAGGAGCAGTGGTCGCCGTAGTAACAGCGCCCGGGAACAGGACTACCTGAGCTGTTGGATTTAACCTATTGTGCATGTTTTTAGTGGTAGGGGAAACAGGAGTATCCAGAGGAAACCTATGGGGAGAACATGCAAACTACACTCAGAAAAACCCTGTTCCAACTTGGATTCGAACCCAGGACCTTCTTGCTGAGAAGCGAGAGTGCTCTCCACTGAGCCACCGTGCCGCACAGGGAAAACACTTATTTCTTTCTCTGAATTGTTTCAAAGTGCAAAAAGTAAGTGGTATTTAATTAATCTTGATTTGAGTCTAATCTCGGAAAAGTATTGCACTTGAAATTAGAACCAAATGCAAAGTGTTTGAAGGAAAACCCAACCCACTTGCTCTATTGATCTGCGTGTACATCAACATAAAAATCTCCTTAGATCATAGATGGGACCAGTCCAAACGTTAACATTGTCTACATCTCTGTATTCAAATCTACAAGTTTTCTACCAAAGAAAAAGACAAAACCTTTCAAAAACATGATTTTCTCTAAGAGCCTTGTTTACTTCAAAGTCCTACTTATTTTGGTTTTATGCAGTACAAACGGCTGCAATTCAGGGCACTTTGAGAAAAGGACATTGCATTTTGAATAATAATAATATATTGTAGCTTGTTTTGCAGAAAGAAAAGAAAGTGAGCAGTGAATGCACTTCTGACACCAGCACAACAAAGTAATGCTATAATTGTTTGTGATGTAAGATAAAAGGCTGGAAATGACTTTTTCAGATCATTACCCCGAGCTCCACCTGAATGTGTCTTTTGAAGAAGCACGGACTTGCATTTTAGTCAGAGGGGGTTGTACAAATTGAGTATATGCAGCTATTTTTGTGTGTTTTTTTAGGCTGGAATGGAAAAAACTGTATTGTCTGTTTTGCGTTGTGATGACAGAAATGTGTGTCTTTGGCTTTCAATGACGCACACATTCCAAGATAAGTACGTAGATTATGGTTTTAAAAAATACATTATGATATAAAGTTCAGAAAATTGTAGTTACCCAGCAACATTAGCTGTTCTCCTTGAACACGCAATGACATGATGTGTTGTGGTCCTTAAAACATTAGTTGAATGGCATTAGGTCTACTCTGATCTTGATAGAAAAGTATCCTGGATGTTCCACTGGGGGTTTGATACAAGCCGATACAAGATGGTTTAAGGACATTGATGATTCAGGACATTTATGGACATCTATGGACATCTGAGGACATTTGAGGACATCTGTGGACATCTGAGGACATATATGGACATCTAAGGACATCTGTGGACATCTGAGGACATCTGAGGACATTTGAGGACATCTGAGGACATCTGTGGACATCTGTGGACATCTGTGGACATCTGTGGACATCTGAGGACATCTGAGGACATATATGGACATCTAAGGACATCTGAGGACATCTGTGGACATCTGTGGACATCTGAGGACATTTGAGGACATCTGAGGACATCTGAGGACATCTGAGGACATCTGAGGACATTTGAGGACATTTGAGGACATCTAAGGACATCTGAGGACATCTGTGGACATCTAAGGACATATGGACATTGGTCATCCGCTCTTTATGGACCATTGACTCCTGCGTGTAGTTGCTGAGCTTCACACAAGGGACTGGGTCTGCTTCATAACGGATAAAATTCAGAAGGCGGGGTTTTGTAAAAAAAAAAAATAGATTGGATAAACCACTTGTCTGTTATCTTGAATGATGTGTTCCTTCAACCACTCACATCGAAGCACACGATTTAGCACACTGCGGCCATGTCCACACGGGGCTGGGTATTATTAAAAACCGAATACTTCCCCCTTTTTGTTTATAGAACAAAGGCGGAACAGGGAGTGAAAGAACACACAGAGTTGAAATACAAGACTAAAGAGACACAGGTGAGACACATGAGGGCGGGGCCGGTTACCAGGAAACAGGAAGTACAACTAAAGACAACGTGGGGGTGAACAAATTACAAAATGAAACCTAAGTAAGTAAAGGAAGTAAACCTCAACCATGACAGCGTGAAAAAGACCCTTATGTGTTTGTATGTTTTAAAGGACAAAAATAATACATACAAAAATCCATAACGTGCACTAATGACCTGAGCAAATACTTCTATGTTTTATTCTATGATTGACTGAGGTCTCGGTGGTAATGAATTCAGTGAGCAGAGTGTAAAAGTGATAGAAATGGTTTGACAAGTTGCAAACCTCTCGTTAGCAGCACAGAGCAGAGGTGTGAAGCAGCACTACACCTGTCAGCACCGAACCAAACACACTCTGATTTATAAGCGGCCGAAAAGGTATTAACTGGTGTAATTTAGATTTATTAGACCATCAACGACAAGTGCTTTTCAGTTAGAGGCCGAGGAGCAGTGATTAAGCAGCTGACAGATTTACTCCTAGTAGATGCATATGTTTTATAGAGAATTATCTCAACAACAAGAGCACAGTGTTAGCGCCATTTTGGAACATATTTGGGTTTATAAAGAACTTAAAAGTGCTTAATATTTGAAAATTAGGACTATACTATATGTGCATTATGTATTACAACAGTCCACCAAAACCAATTCCACATTAAAACTGGCTATTTAGACTTTGCTTTTGATAAACTTTAAACCAGGCATGTCCAAACCATAGACTGTAAATAGTAACGGACATAGTCACGCCTATCTCCGTCGTTCTAACTAATGGGCGAAAATTTGGGCTTTCATGGAGTGATTCAAAATGGCCGCGGGGGCTGGAAAATGTGAAAAAACGCATCTGCGCATGCGTCAGCCGGCACGAGCTCCATTCATTTAAACGAGAGACTTTCCTCTAGTAAACTAGAGTGGTCCAAAAAAATCCACCCCCTCAGCATTGACACAAATGTGGAACGGAGCTTTGGGCCAAGAGCCAACTTTTGGACCATGCTGTAGAGATGTTTTCGAGAGGTAAGAAGATGCTATATGTTAGCATTGGCTAATTCTTCTTCTGGGTCCACCCCCATCGGCCCGGGGTGGTATTGCAAGCATGTCAGCGCACATCATTTTGGCCACTTTTGAGCCGGGACCCTCCTCCACTGGTCCAAACTCAGGCTCACGGGCAATTGCGGCCCTTTGTGCTTTTTTGTGTCCCTCTGCTGCAAACACACTTTGACACTCCACTCCACTGTAATCCACTCCATGACTCTATTGTTATAAACTGACATTTGTTTTATGATTGTGTCACAATAGTCCAAATATAATGTACAGTAGCTGTGTTGTGAATCAATAATAAAGTATCATAACTCGTTTTAGATTACAGAATCCAGTCAATCCAGCTCAAATCCAGTTGTTTTAGAATCAGAATCAGAATCCTTTTTTTATTGCCATGTTAGTAACAGGAAGTCATAAAACTAGGAAATTGCTTTGGCTCTCGGTGCAAACAAGTTGAATCAGAATAAAAACAAGAAAGCATGCATCAATAAAAAATCTACATAAAATAAACCCAGGTCAAGTCTGTTAAACTAAAGTGGCCCTCTTTACTAAAAAGTTTGGACACCCCTGCTGTAAACCATCTGAATGTATTTTTTATTTAGAGTCTGCTTCAAACGGCCACTAAAGATTTCTGATTGCCTTATCGTCAACACCCTGCTGAATATTCAACTTAATTTTTTATTTTTTGTTCAGCCCTAAATCACAACAGCAGTCGTCTCGGAGGACTTTAGAATGTTGTCCATTCCTCAAGAACAGATCAGAGAAGCAAACTGTTTAAACACAGGAAATGCAATAATAACAAACACACAGAAGCCATTGGTCCATAAGTAAAGAGCCGGATTACCAATGTCCATAAAGGGGAATACATGTCCTTAAGTGTCCTTTTAATGCTCCAAAAATACCAAACACACTTTAATATTCAAATTGTTCAGCTTCGAATTTATCATCAGCTTTTCTATGTTTTCTGTGTCTGTAATAACAATAGATGTGTCATGACAACACAAATACTAATCCAGGGATAGTAAGTGTCTAAAATGGCACATTCAGAGAACACAGTATGAACAAATACACATCAGGTGAATAGGGCGCCAGATATGTTGAGCTAAATCAGGAGTAAAGCTCATGCAGTTATTTTACGACTGGCTACATTCGAATGACGCTGTTTCAGAAAAAAAGCTTCTGGGAATTCAGCCAACATCACTTCAACAAGACCACTTCAAATGAGCAGCTTTTGTTTTCTCTATTTTACCCAGCAGCAGGCTGCAGTTTTAAGAATAAAAAAAAAAGAACTCAGTTTAGACCACTACAAATAATATGCAATGTGGTCTTGGATGTAAAGAAAATGCACTTTAAAGCTGGGGGGGCCTAACTTTCACACATTTCCAGTTTCAGACAGTAAAGTGATAAAAGAGAGGATCACCAACCCATCAACTCACATCCCAAAGGGCCAAATAGTGACTCAAAGGGCTCTATCCTACAATAAGCAGAATGCAAAATATAGGCTCTTTCTGACAGACACATAAACATGCTTTTAATTATTATTATTTTTTTAGTGTGGTAATCCAGCTTTAACTTTGAACTTCATCCAAATCTATTAGTTATACTTAATAATACTTATGGTAATAGAAATGTAGCACTGATTTGGGCACACACACTCCGAGGCAATTCCGAAGTTAACCGTCTACAGTATCTTTTATCGGTTACACTAAATGTACATCTCGATAATCAAAAATATAATTACAGGTGACGATCCGTTTCATTCATTTCCAGTGCAACATTAAAACTATGCCTGTTCGACTAGCAACCTGTGACTAGGCACAAAGGTTACTACTTTAATACTCGCCATGTGCAACCACGGTGCAACCACCATGCAACATCTGTGCTACCAGAGAATAACCTCAGTGCAACTAGAGTACAATGTAGAAATTCTAAGAAAAGATTTTTACAGAGATTTCTTACGCACACCATCATTTCTATTGTTTTTTTTTTTTTTTTTACTTTGATGGCCTGTTGCACCATGAGCTAAAGCAAATTACTAGTCTGCACCACAGAACAACCACAGTACAACCGCAGGACAACCACAGTACAACCACAGGACAACCACAGGACAACCACAGTACAACCACAGGGCAACCACAGTACAACCACAGTACAACCGCAGGACAACCACAGTAGCACCGCAGTACAACCGCAGTAGCACCGCAGTACAACCACAGTAGAACCACAGTAGAACCACAGTAGAACCACAGAACAACCACAGTACAACCACAGAACAACCACAGAACAACCACAGTACAACCACAGAACAACCACAGAACAACCACAGAACAACCACAGTACAACCACAGAACAACCACAGTACAACCACAAGACAACCACAGGACAACCACAGAACAACCACAGGACAACCACAGAACAACCACAGTAAAACCACAGAACAACCACAGAACAACCACAGAACAACCACAGTACAACCACAGAACAACCACAGTACAACCACAGGACAACCACAGGACAACCACAGAACAACCACAGGACAACCACAGAACAACCACAGTACAACCACAGTACAACCACAGTACAACCACAGAACAACCACAGTACAACCACAGAACAACCACAGAACAACCACAGTACAACCACAGTACAACCACAGAACAACCACAGTACAACCACAGAACAACCACAGTACAACCACAGTACAACCACAGAACAACCACAGAACAACCACAGTACAACCACAGAACAACCACAGTACAACCACAGAACAACCACAGAACAACCACAGAACAACCACAGTACAACCACAGAACAACCACAGTACAACCACAAGACAACCACAGAACAACCACAGAACAACCACAGTACAACCACAGAACAACCACAGAACAACCACAGAACAACCACAGTACAACCACAGAACAACCACAGTACAACCACAGAACAACCACAGTACAACCACAGTACAACCACAGAACAACCACAGTGCAACCACAGAACAACCACAGTACAACCACAGAACAACCACAGAACAACCACAGTACAACCACAGAACAACCACAGAACAACCACAGTACAACCACAGTACAACCACAGAACAACCACAGAACAACCACAGTACAACCACAGTAGAACCACAGTACAACCACAGTACAACCACAGAACAACCACAGTACAACCACAAGACAACCACAGGACAACCACAGAACAACCACAGTACAACCACAAGACAACCACAGAACAACCACAGTACAACCACAGTACAACCACAGAACAACCACAGAACAACCACAGTACAACCACAGTAGAACCACAGAACAACCACAGAACAACCACAGGACAACCACAGTAGAACCACAGTAGAACCACAGTAGAACCACAGTAGAACTCATACAGCAGACACAGTCCAGTAGAACGATAACGGCTGATGTGTTTTGGGATGTTTGGATGTTGGACTTAGAGGAGAAGGCGTGAGCTGGAAGTGAGCTGGACCTGAGCTGGACCTGAGCTGGACGTGAGCTGGACCTAAGCTGGACCTGAGCTGGACCTGAGCTGGAAGTGAGCTGGACCTGAGCTGGACCTGAGCTGGACCTGAGCTGGACCTGAGCTGGACGTGAGCTGGACCTGAGCTGGACCTGAGCTGGACTGGTGCATCCCTCGCCTCTTTGCTCGAGCGGCGGTGGTGGAATGAGCTCCATAAGTCTGCAGTTATTATCATAATAATGTCTTGTTTCAAGTCGCCCTGAAACGCCTCCAGCAGCAGAGGCGCGATTAGGAAATCTTAATTACGCTTTTGTAGATTCTCCTTCATCAGACCTTGCCTCATTTTTCAACACACAGTCTTTACCGAACTCTGTGGTTTTTTGCAACAGCATGGAGCTACTGTACATAGGACTAATAAGGTATAAATATACATGTTATTATTATGTTGTTATTTAATGTATCATGTGATTATTTTAAATAGATTTGTATTGTTTGTATTCACATTTCATTCAAAAACTGTCCTGTACAAGAAAGAGATGGAAATGGTGCAATAGTAATACAAAAGCCAACGAGGAGACCATAAAACAAGAAAATGGAAGTAAATACAAATATAATTATGACAGCATACAAACAGTAGACTAATGAGACATAAAAAGTGAAACTATTTATGCTCAAATTTCAGACCATGAAACATTTAATGAGGAACCACAGAGAATTTTCACTTGCTTTTCACCATGGAGAAGTGGTTGTTTTGCTTTCTTATTGTAAAAATCATAAATTGCTTCAGTTGAAATGGCTTCTAGGGCAATTCTGTGTTAACTCCTCTAAAGCAGCATCTATGTGATTTCTTTGAGGAGGCTTTTTTTTTCTAACAATATTGTTCCACAAACCTGAAATTGTTTTTAAACCCATGTAACTCTGCCCCTCCTGTCTAAAAGCTCCTCTCCCATGGCGTGTTCATGCGATTTTAGATACTTGGGAGTTCCGACATCCTACTTGGAAAAATGGGGATGAATGCTGCTCGAATCCAAATTTTACCTGGGAAACTCCGGCTGAGGAAATGGTCCCAGAGTTCCAGATTTTTTTAGTTCTTAGTTTAGTTTTTTAGTTCCCTAGTTTCCAAGTTTCCGTCACTGTAACACAAATCAGATTGTAATTGGATGAAAAAACACAGACAGACTGAGAGGGGATCACACAGATTGTTTTTATTGCAAAATAAACACATTTAGGCCAAAATCCATTTGAAATTTAAATTTGTGATTTTATGCGAAAACAAAAGCTTTGCAGAAATATCTAAAATTCGATATGTCTGCTCTTTTCATGATGAGGAACAGCATAAAGTATTTCTCCTGTATTTCTCAGATCACAGCAGAAGGTTTCTATACCTCTCTGATGAATGAGCAGTGTATTGCATTGTTGTTATCGCAGCTGCACGTGTGTATCACCAGGATCACCAGCGAAGAGATCACATGGAAGCGGCATCTGAGCTATCTTAGTATGACATCATAGTACCATTATGACATCAGAGCAGTTAGTTTTCCTTTTAAAACGGAAATATTGCCTATGAATCGGTTTTGGCAATTTCTCAGCTAAAATGGCATACATTGCAATCTCATGTTTGCAACAAGTAATTAACACATTTGGGAAAAATACCACAAACACCTCCCTCTGGTGGTAGCGCAGGGATAGGGCAGGTCTATAACAAATACCCTTGTTCCCAGTTTCACCATATGCTCCACTTTAGATATTATTTCACATTATAGAACATGAAGAGACAAATTAAATAGTCTTTTTATACATTTTCATGCATAATGAAAAATTATGCATGAAAAGGAGGACGTGTGGTTGGATAGGGAAGTCTGGGTGTATCTGCTTAGACTTCTGCCCCCACGACCCAGCAACAAATGAAGCAGAAGAAAATAGATATTATGGATAATATTTATTTTTTAAGTACATATGAATAACGTTACATTTGGGCTGCAGCCGTACACGCTTTAAAAGATGCTTAGGTTATTTTACAAATGTTTTTATTATTATTGAGAGTGAATATAACAGTGGAAGAAAGTGATAAGGCTAATGTAACAGCACAACATGTAAGTATTCATCCTTCTCCTCTCCGCATTATATAAGAGACAGAAACAGTGGTAAGCGGCCTAGTGGAGCTGCCAGTAGGAGCTTTCATGTTCCCAGTGTGGGTTTATTAGATCCCTGGTATGAGCCCCTTGTTGTCAGGGCTTTTCCCCAGTTGCTCATCATGCTTAAACTTCTCATTTGCATTAGAATGGTTCCACGCTGCTCACCTGAGATCCGCTCTGAGCAGACGAACTCACAGTGCGGCGCTGAGGCTTTACACTGGAGCTGCAGAATGACAGCCCAGAGAGTGGGGCTTTGAAGGAGGCAGAGCGGGACAGGGCCGTAATATTCAAGTTATGACCTAATAGATCCATGGTTATGACTCGGAAAGCAAGAAAAATATGTGGGTTGAAAAAAACATTTATTTGTGCTCCTACATCTTAGAAAATCCAAAAAAGAAAATAATACGTCGGTTTGAAGGAGTGAATGTTAAAGATGCAGTCAGTGATTTTTTCACTGACACACATTTTTTAAAATATTGTGGGAAAACGTCCCTAAACCCTACAAGTAGTCAAGATATAATGTGTTTTCGAATAGTAATGGAATTGACCAGATAACTATAGTCTCCACAAATTAAGAAAACATATTTTGGAGCGGATTGACAAAAATAAACCAATGGGGTTCTGTCATCCCCGACCCCAACGAACCAATGGGATGCGTTTACCCCCTTCACCCTCTTCCTGTTTCTCGCGAGTGTGCGCACCGGAGTTATCGGATTTTCTATAACCTAAAAGGGCTGAACAGAAAATGCCAATTCCACGTTTGCCGCCCACTCTTCCTGTTGTGACAAAGAAAAGAAAATGCTGGATGTTTGGTTTGGTGGAGAGGCGAGGGGATGGGGGGGAGGGGGGAGTAGTTTGGAGTTGGTGCTACGGCTAAGCTAACAAAATCGCTTACTGCTCCTTTAAAGGATTAAAGGAGAGTATTACCAGCTCTGACAGGTTTCTGAATGTTCTCCCTCTTCTCTCTGATTGTGCATTATATTTGATCAAATGTCGTATCTGTTGTACTTTCATGGTTGGAGGTCTGACTGTTTGTTCAGATAAAATTTAATGTATAGAAATATCGCCTGGAATGTCACTGTCTGGATTTAAAGTGGTCGCAGGTGACTATCCAAAAAAAAGCAGAGAGCAAACAGATGCAGCACAAATCTTACAGATACAAATTCAACTTCATATGTTGAAAAATGTGAACATGTAACAATAGTATAAACCCACTATGTGCCTGACTGTGCCTGACCGTGACAGTTACTAAAAATAAAGATAAAATTGGGGGGAAAGTTGTGTAGTGTGCCATCAGCTTTAAAAATAGCGAATCTCTTACCATCAGATTTGGGATTTCACAGCATGTGGATCGTGTGGATGGTAAACTTGTTGCAGGGGTCCTGGGTGCACTTCATTGTGACTTTTGAAAGTTTTTTTTGACCCTTTTGTTTTGACATGTTCCTCTCTTCCTTGCGGTGAAATGCTGACGTGGGTTCAAACGACACTTCAACCTTTCCCGCTGTTGTCCTGGGTTGACAAAGCGTGTCAACACGGGTCACAAAACACGCCTCCCCAGTGTGTTGGTACTTTGTTACATCTCTATGCACCGTTTTTCACGACTACATTGGAATAAGCTCTAATAAAATATTTGGTTGTTGAAAAGTAGTGGTTGACAGGAGAGGTGCCTGAGATATCTTTACGTTTGCATTTAACACTCAACACAAAGAACGTAGAAAAATCCTTGACAACTGTTGCTACGTAAAAAGGTGCAGTAACATGATGTGCTATGATATATGACTATAGTATAATCTTTGTGACGCTTGTAATTAGACTAACCTGCAATTAAAATTCCAGAGCAGTCATTTTGACGGCTTTCAGGTGTGGAAGTGTAATTACTCCACTTATGTGCATTTTTGGTCTTCATAACTTTGTGACTTTTCTGGTTCTTTATGTAGTGAGTAGCTATATGTAATTATGTTTACGACTTGGAGCCAGTTACCATAGCAACACACTGTTTACTTGCTTTAGTTACCATTTAGTTTTGCTGTATTTGATTTATATTAACCAGTTTTAGCACGTGCTAAAGATGAAACTCTGGATAAATTACTGAAATTGAATATAAAATTGTTTGGGGTATTTTTTCAGAATTCATTACATTTTAAAAAGGGATCCGTCAAAATTATTACAATTGTTAGCTTTTTAGAAAGATGAATTTATTTATTCTGTTTGTATGGATGGATGTGTTTTTGCTGCTACTGGACACCTGAATCTTTCATACAGGGATCAATAAAGTATCTAAATGATTACAACTTGGAGCCAATGCGAGTTACCATAGCAACACACTGTTTGCATGCATCCGTTAGCTGTAATTCATTAATATTAACCAGTTTTAGCATGTACTAAGGATAAAACCGGTATGAATTACTTAAATTGAACAAAAAACTGGGGTACTTTTTCAGAATTCCATACATTTTAATGGCAGCCGACAAAATACCTGCTCTGAGAGGGTTTTAGTGTAGCGTCAGAATTCATTTATGGGAACGCGAGCCGGTGTAAACAAACGGTGTCAGGCAGCCCTCGTTTGTTAGCTCCGTACACATGTGCCGCACTCAAAAGCTTAGAGCAAAATTATAATTAGTCTGCCGCTAATTCTGCTGCTCACTGCAAACTCTACACACACTTTCAACATCTGCGCCTCGGCCTGATCCCTCCAACCGGGCCGGAGGAAATGCCAGCTCCACTAATTACTAATAAAAGTGGCTAAGCTCATCGTGGTGAATTATTGAAGCTGTGTACGTGAAGCGAAAGGGCTTTGAGGTCCTGCTCGTCGGGATTATCTGTCAGAACACTGGTTTAATGTACTATGGCATTACAAGTATCTCTGACCTACACTTTTATTGTTACCAGCTTTTAACATTTCACTATTAATGCTGAATCTGACAGTGGTCGGACGTACTGTTACTTTAAGACTTCTAGTGTAAGTCGACATGGCAAAAAAATATAGGCACACTTAAAGCTGGGGAAGCTAACGTTAAAAGCACAACATAGTTAACAATGTAATAAGATCCTTCTAACGAAAGCCAGATCCCGACAGACCTCTGAAGCTAAGCAGGGCAGAGCCTGGTGAGTACTATGATGGAAGACCTCTGAACACACATTGGGGTGGCTGCCGCTGTAAACTGTTGTCCTTAGGCAAGACACTTCACCCACATTGCCTAGAATGCATCTGGTGTGTGTGGGAACGGTTGGTGGTGATCGGAGGGATCGTTCCTAATAGTGTTGACAGTAAACTATATATTTTTGTGATAGTACATGATTTTCTTTAGCTGTTTCTTTCTCTATGTGCAGTATTTCTATAGTGCATTTTTCAGTAGAATATAGGCTTTAGCTGTGGTTGTCAAACGGCGGGTCAGGGCTCAAAGTGGGTCAATGCAGCAGCACAATCGAGCTTATGAGAGGCCCACTCCCTGTATAATTACATAACAATTGGAAATAGATTGAATATACTGTACATAATAGTTACATCAGGGAAAAGTGGGTCATGAGAAAAAGTGTTGCCCCCCACAGTTAAACCAATCAAGAACCAGACGTAGTGCTGTATTGTGTTTTTAAGGCTGCAAGATCTGTTAGAGTGAAGGATATTTTTGAAATAAAGCAGACACAAAATTGCAAAGACTGCAATGCGTACAAACTGCGAAATATTGTAGACATGGATTATGCCATTGGTTCATACACGGTTTCATTTAATTTTAAAATTTTAAATGAATTTTTTTTATTGTTAATTTACCAAAACCAATATTTTTTTTCTCATTTTTTTAAAACAGCTGTTATTTGTCAAACCAGCCAACGTCCACTTGAAATCTGCAATGTAAATGTCTCCATTGTGAAATGAATAAAGTTTGATCTAATCTCAGTTTATACTTGCTTCTTCTTATGCCAAAGGTAGAGATGTATGCTTCTTATTATGCTAATGATAGAGATTTTATACTTGTTTCTTTTGGTGTACTTAGAGATTTTATTTTTATCTTATTTTATCTAGTCAAGTTATTATTCCTTTTTCTTGTGCTGTGTGCTCCTCATTCCTACTGTTCTGTAACTGATGATGCAACACTGAAATTTCCCCGCTGTGGGACCAATAAAGGATCTCTTATTTCTAATGTCCTTAGATCTTGTTTCTGATGAAGGAAAATAGCAGCATATTTGTCAGAAAAATGTTGTGACAAAGCTGTTCGTCCCTGCTGTCCTCCACATCCAGCTCATGTCTCTCTCCTCTCTCTCCACAGATCACATGCAGAAAAGCGCAGGGCGGCGAAGTCACGCAGCTGATCGAGTTTGGCGATGGCGTGCACAAGATGTCTCCCACGGGAGCGAGCCCCCGCCTGCTGAACCCTCTGCGTCTGTTCGCTCGCTCTTCCCCTGGGATCAAGGCCGACGCCAGGGAGATCACATATATACAGAACATGGAGGACTTCTGGGACTGGTTATCTAATCAGACCGACTCCCAAGCTGTCCAGGCGCGCGCCAAACGCAGACCAATCGTTAAAACCGGAAAGTTTAAGAAGATGTTCGGCTGGGGGGATTTCCACTCCAACATCAAAACGGTCAAACTCAACTTACTCATCACTGGGAAGATTGTGGACCACGGGAATGGCACTTTTAGCGTCTATTTTCGCCACAATTCCACCGGTTTGGGCAACGTCTCCGTCAGCTTGGTCCCCCCATCCAAAGTGGTGGAGTTTGAAATCGCACAGTCCACGCTGGAGCAGAAAGACACGAAATCTTTCAACTGTCGCATTGAGTACGAGAAAACGGACCGGAACAAGAAGACGGCTCTGTGCAATTTTGACCCGTCCAAAGTGTGTTATCAGGAGCAGACCCAGAGCCACGTGTCTTGGCTGTGCTCCAAGCCGTTCAAAGTCATATGCATCTACATTGCTTTCTACAGCGTGGACTACAAACTGGTTCAGAAGGTGTGCCCCGACTACAACTACCACAGTGACACGCCCTACTCCTCCACGGGATGACAGAGCGCCTAAGACAAACACACACGCACAAACACACACTCATAAATACTTGGTAATGTGTAAAATAGACCTGCTGAAGGACTCTGGAGGTGTGCGGTGTCGTTTTGTGTGTGTGGAAAATCTGCCACCTGCTTTTTTTTCCATGGAGATGTTATTGCTGTGTGTATAACAGGGTGTCTCTGGGATCTGCAAAAGTACCGTAAATTCCGGACTATAAGCCACGGCTTTTCCCCCACACTTTGAATGGTGCGGCTTATAGTAAAGTGCAGCCTATACTAAGGTGAGGTCCTATACTAAGGTTTGGCCTATACTGAAGTGCGGCCTACACTAAGGTGCGGCCTACACTAAAGTGCCGCTTATACTAAGGAGTGGGCTATACTAAGGAGTGGGCTATACTAAGGTGTGGGCTATACTAAGGTGTGGGCTATACTAAGGTGCGGCCTACACTAAGGAGTGGGCTATACTAAGGTGTGGGCTATACTAAGGTGCGGCCTACACTAAGGTGTGGGCTATACTAAGGTGTGGGCTATACTAAGGTGTGGGCTATACTAAGGTGCGGCCTACACTAAGGTGTGGGCTATACTAAGGTGTGGGCTATACTAAGGTGCGGCTTATACTGGGGTGTGGGCTATACTAAGGTGCGGCCTACACTAAAGTGCGGCTTATACTAAGGTGTGGGCTATACTAAGGTGTGGGCTATACTAAGGTGTGGCTTAAATTAAGGTGTGGTCTGTACTAAGGTGCGGCTTTTATTAATTTACGGCTTTTACTAAGTTGCGGCTAAATTATTAATTTATTATATTCTGTGGCACAAAAACATTTTTTCCAAGTAACAGTAGACCAACAGAATTGACGAGTAGTTCAGAGACGAGTAGTGTTTGTTCACCCAACATGGAAAATACTAAAAGAAAAGAATAATTTGCGCATTACTAATACAAACGTACAATGTATTTAGAGGTCACAGGCACCGGAAAAAAGTAACAACAGTAAAGAAAAGTGTTTTTTTTGTTGTTACCAAGCAGATTAAATAAAGTTGAAATGTCCTCACTTCTTTTATCTTTGTGTAAATATCCCGTTTTATAAATTGTTTTTTAGTTGTTTGTAAAGACATGAAAGTGAAGATTACTGGTGGAGGACAGAACTGATGAAAGTGTGCATTTTTCAACTTTACAACATGGGATGGATGCGGCTTATAATCAGGTGCGTCTTATAGTCCAGAAAATACGGTAATTTTGATCTAAATCATGGGTGTCAAATGTCAAACTGGTTCCAGAAAGGGCAGGAGGTGTGACTGGAGGTTTTCATTGCGACCGAGCAGGAGCAAAGCAGACTCCGCCCATTTCCTCAAGTATTTCCTGTCAGCTTCAGATTCATTTCATTTGCCATTTGCAGTAAAACCACATTGGAATACAATTGCAATGCTTTCCCATTGCAACCAGCTGCTAATTAGTATTTCGTCCAGATGTCGTCTTGAAGCGAGGCCACAGGCAGCGACTCTGGGAAATGGAGCGCGGCTGCTTTGGATCTCAGTAAAGCAGACGTTATTCTGTAAATCAACCAGGCTTAGAAATATGTATATTGTTTCATTGTCAAATTCTATCCTCTGGCTCATCATAGTGCATTTGTACACGTTAGCACCACATTAAGCCTGCTGCTATCATTTTGGATTAGCATGACCGATTATGCAGCGCGGCGTAAAACCTGCCACACTCAAGAGTTATAATTACTTTCGGAATCGTACATCTCAAAAGCAAATTACATTGATTTCCTGCAAATAAAACTAAGTGGCCATGACTGATTGAATTGTTCCAACAAAACGTACGACTATTCATTACACAAGAGAGTTTTTAAAGAGCCAAGTTTCTGTCCATGGAGCATTAGAGCAGAAACATACAAAGGATAAATCACTCACGTGTGCAGAAGTGGATGATTACTCATGCATTCGATTACGAGGAAAACTTAAAATGATCTTAGATTAGAGCAGAAATAATTCACACAAAATGCAAATTGTGATTTTAGTCATTACATTTGTCAATAGATTTAGTCATTGGGACCATGTTTCTTACATAATCATTGCAGTAACTCAAATAATTTCCAAGATTTTTCACCAGGATAACTCACTTTAGTCATCTACATGCATCAAAACAGTCCGGTGAAGTGTGTGTGTGTGTGTGTGTGTGTGTGCGTGCGTTCTCTCACTGCTCTCAAAGGCATCAGCGTGGCTCAGCCGAGGTGTCGAGGGGGAGATCCCATAATTACAAGAGGACAGGAGGATGTGGTGACTTTGGCAGACAATTATCAGCTTTTTGTCATGCTCCTGCCATCAGCCATGACATTACCTGTCTTTAATAGCTTTTAATTAGGCTGCGAAAGGTTCATTTACCCACAAAACTCCAAACACACAAGTGTAAAGCCTGCGCTGAACTATAATGAGGAATGGGACTAATGTTCAAATGTCATCCGTTAGCCATCTCCTACCTGAAGAGAAGGAACTGACAAAGTTTTGTGAGAACTTTGCACATGATAAAGAAATGGGAATATTGTGGAAAAGTCTGTTTGGATTCCACTCAAAAACTCTGGAGGCTATTTCTGTGAACTCTACTGTAATGCAGCCAGCCCACGTATCGGATTTGATGATCATTTAGAATAAGAAATGATTCATTCTGCAGCACATTTCATACAAGAAACTACAAAAAAAATAAAGGTTAAGGTCGATGTACACTTTTCTTTAAGCCTCGTTGGGCGATGTGAGCTCTGCATTTGACCCATCATGCATTGTTGGAACTAGGGCAGTGTTCTCCCCCTGGCACACCTTTTTTGTTGAAGACAATCCAATGGCACACCACCAGCTGAAAGTGATACAAAAATAAACTCTGCAGCTTTTATTATATGAAAGAAAGCAAAAAAGCAAAGTCATTCTTATCATGGTATTATATAGAAAATCAGACAAATCTTCCAGGACTCCCTTGAAAAACAGGTTCTTAATCTCAATGGGACTTTCCTGGTTAAATAAAGGTGAAATAAAAAAATCTCTTTAATCTTCTTCTGACCAATGATGTGATATTGGAATATTTCCCAAGGGAGACTAAGTAATGTGCCAGACTGGGTGAAAAACACTGCACTATGGGCCCGATCTCCAGATATTGATACTCGGCTTGGTCAGAACTACCATCTAACTACATGAGAGAGTCCCAACAAGAGAGCCTTTAGTTGACTCTTGAATGAGCTCAGGGTCAGAGCACATTTTGTATAATCAGGCAGACTGTTCCATTTACGAGGAGCATGTATTAGAGAAACATTCTGAAGGATGTAAAGGAAACGTATGCAATAATTTGGGCTCTCACTCGATACCTCTGTGGTCATAGCCGCCCTGGTTCTTGTGGCTGCAAATCTGCTCCCGTAGCCTCTGTTTACAACCCGACATTAAAGGTGACCAAGAAGCATGACGACAGTATGCTTGGGTGTGATGATCCAGATGTCATACGAGAGGACAACAAAATACATTTATGGTTAATAGCATAAAAATAAAAATAAATCACTTAAAATAAGAGTTAAGGTTCACACTGAGTAACTTTGGTCCGGTTTCCTAATCACAGCTGCTTTACAAACAGAAATGAAGAACACAGTATCTGTTAAAGTGAAGAATGTGTATAAAGTTTTGATGTCCCTTGTGAAAGGCAGATTCATAATGATCATTTAATACGTTCACATTAATAAAACCGTACGTGTCATAACCATCACTGTTAAATGATTTCAGAAAACATGTTTTTTTGGAAATCGTTCACTGCTGGAACCAAATAATTTAGTTTGTGGCTTCAATAGGAAATGTTTAAAAGTTTCTCAGTTGAATTTCGTCCCAATTCAGAGAAAGACAAATCATCATTTAGTTCTTAGTAAAACAGAGTGAGTGAAATATGTATTAAAATGTGTGTCTCAATTTGACAGATCATGTATTTTTTTCCTTTGTAGGGCAGCGTGGAGACATCTATGCTGGGAATGTTGATAAGATCTTTGTTAAATAAGATCCTGAGTACCATGTTACAAAAGGAAACAAAAAGATACAATAAGTTTCTACTGTTACAAAGAGAAAGAAAAGGAAACATAACACTGAAAATTGGCAGCAATATATAAAGTTACGTTTATCTCTGGCCAAAGTGAATGTCAGGTACTTTTTGAGTTGTGGAGATAGACATTTTTTTTTACGTTTGCCCTGGAATATAAGGGATTAGACCCGCCCACTGTGTTCTGATTGGACAGAAATCCCAAATTGTCATTGGTCAAACTAGTCTCCTCCAGCAAATCCTAAGAGTGGTGGTTATACCAAGCAGATGGACTGTATTAAACATTCTATTTTTGATTGTACATGGTCAAACGGTCAAAAAATAATAATTTAAAACATGAAATACAATTGAAGTTACTCACACTAACTCTATGGTTTAATGGAATGTTTTATAACAGTCATGATACAAATGCAAATCTATATAATCTTTGCCATTTTATTGAAACAAGAAAAAGTACCATTCATGCAACTAGCAAACAAATCATTTCCGTTGTCCATTTGTGCCCAGTCTGACCCTGCGTCCAATCAGTATGCACAAGAGTGGTTTTGTTGAAGAATAACATTCATTTAAATACAGGAGTTCAAGATGGAAGCACTACAGTGAAAAATCTCTGGCAGCGAAAGCACCTCATGGAGACGGGGCGATGGCGGACGTCCAAAATTAAAGATACATTGGATATTTTGAGGCTCACGGGATTGAAAAGGTCTCCATACGTCTTCAAGTGGTAAAACTCATGTGTATAGTGTAAACAATCAGCATCGAACTAAACCGCTTTCGTTAAAACAAGATGATGTAAGTTAAAGCTGGAGTCCCTAACCTTGAGAGAGAATCTTATTTAATATTTTGTGGAGAAAAAAAAATCAGACATTATCTAAACAGAAAACATGCCATCTTTAATACTGAAAGCTGATTGGCTGAGTGAGGGCTGGTACTTTCTCATTGAAAAAGCAAAAAATGGGACAGAGGCCATAAATACATGCATGTGGAAACTATCGATATAGGAACATAAACATACCCGCATTTTACTACATAGTTCATTTTAGTGGTTTTAAAGTTAGGTACTCCAGCTTTAATCGAACCATATCTGTATAGTGCTTGTGCTACAGACAAACTGCACTGCAATTTTTTTTTTTTTTACATCCGCTGTAAATGTAAACACTCCGGGGCGTGTAAGATATCTCTGAATCTATGTTGATAATTTAGTTTGTGCCAAAATGCTGTGTATAAATGTGTAAATCAGTACAGTGTTTTACTATGTCAATACAATAGTTCAATACATGTATGTATACCTGTAGAAAAAGACAAAAACTGTTATCCCTGCCTCTTTTCGTTTTGCTTTCACATTATCCTGTACAAATACGTCGTGTGCAAAATACCCACTTTTGTTCAGATTTGAAATATAGGTTTTTAATGCATTAAACTTATTTGAACTGGGCATCTTGTCAGCTTTGATTTCCTTTCCTTTTTACCTGCGTGCACGCGCCGCAGCGGCAGGATAAACACCGGTTTTAAGAGCTGCGTTTCAGTGTAGCTTTTTAATGGCCAATACGTCTTTGTCTCCAGGCGCGGATGATAGCAGAGGTGGACTTAGGAGAGCACATCCATTCTGCCGTGGCCATCAGGGACAGCGGCCGTTTCATTCGCTTCCATTACTCTTATCTGATCAGACAGGAGACTCCTTCAGCATCAAGACAAGACGCTCCACGCCTACGCATCCAAACAGACAAACTTTGCATGCAGGTAGAAAGAGGGTAGCGTGTGTGAGAGAGAATGGTGGTGGTCGGAGGGGCTGATGGCGCATACTGGCTGCCTCGCTTCTGTCAGCATGCCCCAGGGCAGCTGTGGTAGTAGAGTATTAGCATCTTGTCTTGAGTGAAAGAATAAGAATAACTGTCCATAAAAAGTGCTTTACAGTGTATTACAGTAATGGAAAACTTGCTAACTGAAGTACAGAGGATGGGGGCGCTACCTTCTTTCGTTCTGAATAATTTCTGTACAACTGAGAGATTACACGAATTTACAGAATATAACAATCGCTTTCAAATATATTTATTGGGACATTCCTCACCACACCCACCTATTCCTTAAATCGTCATTCCACATTTGGTCCCAGATTATTTTTTTCTTTCCTTTTATGCCCCTAGTGATATTTAACCAAAGAGTGAATATTAACATGCAAATAAAACAGAAAACAAAATTGGAAGGAAAAAAAAGGGTTTGGGTTAGTTGGTCATTCATTCTCATCGCTTTTATTAATCCTATCCTCATGGCACCACCCCCTCATGGATTCTGCAGCAGTTGGTGGCTCCACAGGAGATTGGGGTTAAGCGTCTTGCCCAGGGACACAGCGTCAGTACGAGTCAAAGAGAGAACGAGTAGTGGGGGAAAATTGAACCCACAACCATTAGACCAACGCTTTACCAACTGAGCAACTGTCGCAAGTTCATCTCAAGTTTTAATTCCAATGGCAGAATTGGAGCTGACAGAGTAAAGGAAAACAGGTGGTTGTTTTGGTCGCCCCGTCTCAAGTTGGCGTATTGTGACATCAGTTTGAATGGCGCCAAAGCACAGTGCTGGTGAATGTGTTCATCAGATGTCTTTATATCTCCTTGTTTGCTCAACAATGGTTTCACAGCTGAGTGTGACAGGTTCAGTTCGTCTGCAGTTTTGTCAATGTGCAATCAAGAGAAAGATAAAGGTTTACCCAATTTAAAACGCACCGAGCTTAAACGTGTATCTCTGTGATAGCACCTGCTGGCTGCATCATTACAGATTATAAGCAACCTAAATCTGTCATTTTTCAAAGGATTTAAAGCAAGCGGAGTCGAACTGTTTTCTCACAAGCGCTGAAGTGCATTGTGGGGTAAGAAAATAAAGTTTGACTAGTTCAGACCGAAAAAAAAATGTTTTATTCATTTGGGTGCCATCTTTAATCTTCTTTCCTCAGTCCACAGTAAAACAATAGTTGGGATTGTAATGATGTAAGCAGACATTGTGGGTAGTTTAGGATGAGTGGGGAGAGATACATGATTGAGAAAAGCAGAGATGCTATCAGAGCTTCTCCAGTGTCTCTGTAGGACACAACGGCTGCTCTAAAGGACCAGAATCAAACTCTGTTGCTTTAATTAAGGCTAAAGCTGATTGGGATCTGGAAACCAAAACGCTGAAACTCATGAAACTTTTGAATTCAGTGAAAGTTAAGCGTACATAATCTACACTACAGAGCTCTGCTGAATAAGAAAACAAGCAGCTTCAGGTGGAAAAGGTTTAATGGGTTAATGCAGGCATTCTTGCAGACAACAACTTCATCTTTTTTGCTTTGAAAAGAAAACAAAAGATGCCTCAACATGACACTGCATGGTGAGTAAGATCATGTAAAAATGATGCTACTCTGTAAATGTACAAAATCCTTGGAAGTGCCAGTCACACCACGCCACATACAAGACGGACTGAAGAACGTGACAACCCCCATTCAGACACAACAACATCGCCAGTGATGCTCAGCATCCTACAAATATCCAAGCATGTTAGGACTTTTGCACATACTCATTTCATTTAAGCAGTTCAGATAATTCTGAAAATAAATTGTCAAAACAAAATTGGTACTTGGACACTTTCTTTGACAATAATATGACCATGCATTAGTCTTGCCACTTTTTGTTAACCACAATATATTGAGAATATAATATTTGCAAGTTGGCAATACTAAGGAAAGAAATTCAAGATTTTCTCTAAACAGTTCACAGACGTATGATCTGGATATTCAAATGGAGACTGAGTAAATATTTCCATATACTTGTTCCAATGTTACCATTTGATCGGGCCATAGACACTTGTGTAATTAACATCAGTGAGTCTTCAAAATGGCAGAAGACGCTTCCCCCGGAACTATGTCAAAGAGCATACTTTCTTGCTTACTGGTCTTAAGATGGTTCAGTTGTCATTTACATAGAAATGGTGCCATCAATATGGGGCATAGGCATATTTAAAAAGTGTAAAAGAACTGACCTTGCACTGAAAGTGTTCATGCTCTTGAATGTCTAGTCACAAATGGGCTAAACATTACAAATATATAATATTTCCCATTTAGTTAAACATTTGTTACGTTCCTATTGAACTCCATATCAAAATGACTATTCATGGGAACTAGTGCAACCTGGAGGAGGCCTGGTCTTTGTGACAAGGCAGGCACAGCGTAAAGACAAAGTACTCTAGAGCGGCTCCAGAGCAATGGCAGATATATTAAGGCCATCTTCAAAATCACAGGAAAAAAACCGTAGCGGACACTTGCCTTGTTACTGAGCTGAAACTGCGTTCAGCCGCGGCAGCAAAGCCAGCGACACCGAGTCTAACTTTTTCTCCCGTTCTGTTGTCCGTCCACGTGCCAGCCTCCCCACGCGCCGGGCCTTAAGCGCCACTCTCCTGTCCTATTCAAGTGTGTTCAGTTTTGGTGGAAGTGGAGCGTCCGAGAGTCCATCCTCTGTAAAGCCCACCTCACACCTGCACAGGGCTCCCAGGGGTCAGGACTGTTTTAGGCGTTTGCGGGGGAGACCAAAGGGCGGGCACTGTGCGGAGGCCAGCGCACGGAACGCCTCAGCCACCAAGTGAGGGTGCGACTGGATCATTGACTTCCAGCCGGCAGTCTCCATTATGTCTGTAGCGTGACTGGAAACACAGACACACACACACACACACAATGATATTAGTGCTCAAAGTTTGAAATGCACATTAAAAATCAATCAGCTTAAATGGGATCGTAATGACAAAGCAAATAAAGTGGGTCATGGCAAAAGGAGACATTTTGGGACTGATAAAAGCTATTGAAACAGACATAAAATCAATATTCATTTTTGCTGGCAATGGACAGAGCCTTATGACAATAGTAGCCACAGCAAGGCCCACAAATGTATCTCAAAATACATGGATTACCTTTTCACTTTAAGACTGTGGGGCTTTTTAAATAGTGAACCGAGAAAGCAAACCAATCTCATTTAGTCACAGAAAAACCACCCAGTTCCCTTTGGTTGATTTCACTCTAACTGGACTTAATGTAATTAGAGAGGTTAGACCTAAAAATATTATTTACAGTTGGTGCATAAACATTGGGGAACACAAAGACCTCAAACATATTTATATCATAATTGAAATCTCATGTGAAAGACGCACACAATCAGCAAGAGAATTTTCAAACTTTTTGCAGGAAGTGAAAAACAGTGTACAAAAGACACAGAACTAAATCCAATTGAGCTGTTATGCAAAGAAGAATGGGGGAGGGGGAACGAACCATTCTTCAGATTTGCAGATATAATTTCTGTTAAAAAAGGGTATTGACTGGACTTTTTGGTTTCGCTCTTCAGCTACAAAAACATTTAATTTCACTTCATGATTGTGTGCCCCATAAATATACTTATGTTTGCGGTCCTAGCATGGAGAATGTCAAAAAGTAAAAGAGGTGTGCATAGTTCTACAGTAGTTGTATTTTTTCTTGTTCTGTCTCAATCAAATAAACTAGGGCTGTCAAAATTATCGCGTTGACTCACGTTAATTACATTTTTCATTAACGCGTATTTTTTTTTAAAAACGCATTAACGCATTTCCGAATGACCCGCCCATTTATCCATATTATCACTCAGAATGCTGCGTGTGAGAGTGAGATGGCATCAGAGCAGGTAGGCCCTCTGGGAATTCAAGTTTTAAAAGAATACTCGCGTGACCGCGGGGCAGGTTGCTGTGAACTGAAGTCCGCCTCCCGGGGCACACCCCGGGGGGCAGCTGCAGCCGCTCTGGTTGTAGTTAGCGGACCAGAGCGAATGGCGCCGCGGTCAGACCATACACGCACAGGACTACTGCATGTTGTGTTCGTGTCTTTAAAACCTGTGCATGACCTGTGCACGCAAATACACTGCGGAAGTGTCTCCTGAAACTAAACTAAACTAAACTCGCTAAATTAAAGCTGGGGTACGTATAAACAGCTCATTTTAGTTGTGCCCAAAGTAAAAGGTTTAAAACATTTGGTATAAATGACAATGTGCCATTACATTTGATAATCTCATTTAACTTCAATTGGAGTGGATTTGAAATAGAAAGTTAAAAATGCAATTAATCGGGAGTTAACTCACCATTACTATGCAATTAATCAACTAAAATCGTTTGACAGCCCTAAATAAACATATAATACGTAACAAATAGTCTGAAAAATTGCATGCAGCGTGTTGCATATTACCGGTACTTTAAACTCAAAATCGAATGTGCGAATGATTCATTAACAAACTTAAAATTTGGCTTGGAAGAGTCATACATCAGGTCATTGCAACATGAGGAAAACAAACTTCTCATAAGTGTGTGAGTTAAGATTTCTCAAACGTTCCCTTTTCACAATTCAAGTACGAGTCTATTAATAACGGGGACACACAGATACGGAGCTTCAGACTGAGAAGGCAAATAGCTCGGCGTCTTCCTGGGCTAAAAAACAATGAATTCTAATGCTTCTGGTCGGGGCAGAGATAAGGCCGTGTTATTAATCTTGTGTCACATATATCAGCTAATTACATACTTGCTATTCCAGTTCTTTCCATCTTTACAGCCCAGTTGTCTCAGGACACTGCACCTATGGCAACGAGATAAAAAGGTAAGCATTCAGGGCTGGTAAACAGAGATGGCAGGACAAATTTATCACTGGAGGGGTTTTTTTTGTTTTGTTTTTTTTCGCGATACTTGCCTGTTGATAAAATCTATGGCTTGTGCTTTGAGTTGCTCGGCGCTGTGCAGGTCGGCGAGGATGAGGGTGTCGGCCACGTTCTCCACCGAGAGGCTGTTGCAGAGCGCCTCTTCGCACATGACCTTTAAACGCTCCAGCGCGTACTGTACGGCGAGAGAGGAGGGACCAAACGCATCAGGAGAAAGGTGTTAAGAGTGAGAGAAATCACCGGTTTACACACAGGCTGACTCAGAGGTTTCACTTTAACTGTTCTGCTGTTTTGAAAGGAAATAATGCCACACGAAATGCAACTCTGTAATAAAATCTGCCTCACAAGTTCCAGGCTCAAACGCTTTGGTTTGATCACCAGTTGGCAAGTACATGTATTTTCAAATCAATTAAGTTTATAAAGCAGTGCATGAAGGTAAAAAATTAAAAACATGACTAAATGTCAGAATTAAAACCTTTCATATCTTTAGAGCAGCTTTTTCAGACTTGCAAGGTGAAAAAAAGACTTTGATCCTTTTTCAGCCAATCAGCTCTCAGCCCAAAGGGTCAAATAGTGACTTACAGGGCTTTTAAAAAACATAATATATGTTCAAAGAAAGATACAACAGTATGCAGTGGTCTGATCACAACAACACACTCTGAACATATTCTGTTACTTGGTCCAATCAGAGGAAAATAAAATGAGTATTCCAAGTGTTATCACTCAGCAATGGATTAAAGACGACCGTATTTTCTTCAGACATTTGTCACTCCTAATTAACAATTGAAATTGTCATGTTAGGAAGTTTGTTTGGTGGTATCACACTGACACGAGTAGTCCCTAAGCATGATTAATGATGCAATCCACCTGCTGGGGTTTAGCTAGAATAAACTATTACCGTAGCCATTTTCAGATGCCAAGAAACCCTTGGCAACCCAAAAGAAAGCCTCTGCTTTGATTGTATTTAAAGGATTTCAAGAAGATTATACAAATAATATGGAAATCATGCCCCTTGTATTTTTAATCATTTAGAACAACTCCAGTTTAAACTATTAGTCATAAATAAAAATAAATAAAAAATAAAATAATCTGGGGACAGGATTAAATATGTAATCCGGTTTGTAAATTAACACTCCCACCGTTACAACTGGTACAAACAACATTAACTATATTTCCTAACACTTCTGTGATGATAGGTGACCCACACACACACACAGAGATAAAAAAGAGAAACCGTTGTGAATGACAACAGAAGACATGAAAGATGAAAATTATTCCTCTGCTTTAAACAAACCACATGTTTTCAACTCCTTCAAATAAATAATTTCATGTTTTTTCAAATAACTAATGACTCTTACAAACTTCATTTAAAATAACAATGAAGGTGCAGAACTACTACATTGAACTCAAACTGCTCGGTGAAGTTTTTGCGACCGGGACTTTTTGTTCTCATTTCCAATGTATTTGCCCTTTCTATATTTTGATCTAAAAAGTGACAAAGGGTCAAAAAGTGGTATGTAATCTTCTTTACTCTGTGTAAACTCCAGTCTCCATCAGGGACAAACGACAGCTTTTCTCTGCAGTGAAACAGTTGATATTTAAGCTCCAGTACATCCATATCAGTGTGGATTCTAAACACAAACTCTTATTGATGCGAGCAACAACGGCCTCAAAAGGATTTAGCAGATTACGAAGACGTCAGATGAAGGATTAAATATTTCATTAAAACTGTTGTTACATACAAACAACACACAGCAGGGACCATTGTGTTGCATGTTAAGACACAACTACACAATGTGACTAAAGTACATCACTTCTTATCAACAGGAATATTTGTATTTAAGTTGTTTTAAGCTCCTCACTCACTTTGTCTGCAGCTGCCAGCAGGTTGTCGGCCATTTTCTCCAGGTTCGGGGCCTTCCCTGTGTAAATGAATCCCATCATCTCCTTGAAGACTTCTGGGTCCACGTCGCTGATGTCCACGCGGTTCTACGAGTCCACGAGAAAATGCAATGACATAAACAAGATTCAGAAGACCTCAAATGTGTATTTTAAATCTCAATGTTTGTGCAACGCAAGAGGAACTTTTATATGAATTAGAAACGCAGTGTTCGACAAACAGTTGTCCCATCTGTTCTCTCATCTCAGATTCATTTAAATATGAAATTGAAATTAACATAAAACCGACAAAGGGTGGAGTCCTCAAGCATAAGAGAGAACTACATAACAAAAGCAAATAAAGGAAAAAGATATGCAAAAAATAAGTTAGAAATGTAAATTATTAGGCCTATGATGAGCACAGAGGTTCAAAGACAATGAAAAAAGACAAGAACAGAAAAAAAAACAGATTCTGCAGAGGTTCTAACGCCAGTGAGTCACATACTAATAAAACTATCCATCCATCCATTTTCTTCCCCTTAATCCATTTCTGGGTCGGGGGGGTGGCAGTCAGAGCTGCACCCAGTACACATAGCACCAGCCCCTCACTGATCCTCCTGCAGGTGGCGAGTCCACAGGAGCCTTGATTATTCCACAGGGGCTTCAGGCAAAGTGGAGTTAAGCGTCTTGCCCAAGGACACAAAGACAGTCGTCATCAGTGGGAGTCGGGAAGTAGGTCTTGTGGTGGGCTCGAACCCACTACCTTCAGGCTCTAAGGCCGATGCTCTATGAACTGAGCCACTGTCGCCTCTAATAAAACTAATACTAATATCCAACCATTTTCTACCCCTTAATCCATTTCTGGGTTGGGGGGGTGGCCAGAGATGCCACATTGCACCAGCCCTAAAGCCTAGTTTATACTCTCGCGGCGCGGAGCTTACGGAGGTGACGTGACGTCACTTGCGCAACGCGTTGGTCACCGCAAGGCCCTTACGTTGCCTGCCCTGCAGCATTGAAATTTTCTAACTACGTAAGGGTCGCCGCAGAGAAGCTCCGCTGTGATTGGTCTGTGTGTGTGTATTGGAAGGAAGCATGGAGCGGCTGCAGCAGGGACAATGGACGAGGCACTATGGAGCAGAGAGCTTTGTGCTTCGAAGGAAAAGCAGTTTAGGCTCAGAGCCTGATATACAGGAGACTGTGGACTATCTAACATACGTATATATAACTTATAAACTGTGCAGTCGTTTGTTTTGCACTGTTCCTGTCTTTGTTTGAATCGTAGCTGCGTTTGTTGCTTTCCTCCTGCACTCGTAAATCGTTTATGTTTGTCTCAGATATTTACCACTATTATTGTTTTGCTGTTTGTGCTGAAAACTATTTAATAATAACTATGTTTCCAACAAGAACTGTGTCTTTATTCACAGAATCACAGTTGAAATGACTTATAAAATAATGAATCCATAAAACTATCACACAAACCTGCAGTAGAAACACATGTAATGAACTCAAACAGCTTTGTTTTCTATTGTTGTTCTGAAGAGGACAAAGTAGCAGCGTAAATGGGACCGCTCCTGTGTGATCGCCCTCATGTGGTTTGTTGTGGGATTACAACATTCTCCTCAAAACTCCGTAAGGGGAACGCGCCAGTATAACATCAATTGTGCTTACGTAGGTCCACCGCAACTGCTAACGTAAGCCACGCCGCGCAAGTATACACTAGGCTTAATACTAATAATACTAGAGAAATTCATCAGTAAACAAAGCTCAAGCTACAATTCAGCTACTTTGGCGCCTAAAGTGTTAATAGTAATGACTTGTATCCCTATTTTTCATTATTACTCCAAGCAGCGCATCCTTACTTTCATGTACCATAATGTGAAAAACCAAAGTTAATGTAATAATTACCTTTTTACTCTCCTCCATTTCATGTTCAAACATTGCATTGAAGACCGGGGACCTCGCTGTGGACCAGAAATCCAACAATCAGTAACACAATCAGTGACATGCACAAACACACAAACATGACTTTATGGCCATGTTATAGCGTCAAAAAGGGAAGCGCCAGAGTCAAGTACGGCCATAAACGAGGTCTGCTACTTCCACGTTGACCGTTTGCCTGGACACCGCAGCTGCCTCCACCGTGTTTAGTGCAGATAAGCTGAAAAAGAGCCGACCCCTCAGTCTGGCAGACCCTGTGATCCGGGTCAAGTAGGTGCTGTCGGTGGATTAGAGAACTGTCCTCCACAATATTTATAGATGAGAATGAATGAAAAGGGCGCAAGAAACATGTTGTGAAAGATATAGCCTGAAATAACCCAATTACTGAACTGGTCTGTTAGTTATTTGAACAGTTTTTAATGTGGCCAAAGCATGTGCAAGAAGGGATGTGGACCCAAAGTTAGTGACGTAGCACACTTTTCCGTTTATAGACCGCTGTGCTTAATAGACCAGAAATATATGGTCTAATATATACGCCGCACTTGGTGAAAAGGAGCATGTCATGAGCTTTAGAAGAACACAGAATGCATCTTGGTTTAATAGTTTTATATTCATTGTGTCAAAATGCGATGCGACATAATTAAAGTGGGTTGGATTACTGGATTGGTTGGATTATTTGAAGAGACTTTCAAGTGTCACAATTATTACTTATAAACTTTAATAAAAAAATCCACCTTTATACCTTTAACGTTCAATAACAGATGGGTAAAAAAATATTATTTGGGTCTTCATATTAATCATCTAATTTATTTTCTACAATGGAGATTTTTGCCATTCTCGATGCAATGAGGTTGAACCATCTAAAGCTACAACAAAAGTGACTAAATATTACTAATAATTTGTCCAACACATGCTTTTAACCCATTGAAGCCGGGAACGCATTCCCGCGTTTCTCCCTTTCAAGCCGGGAGCGCTGTTGCGCACTTCTACCTTTAAAGCCGGGAAAGCGGACACGTCTTTTTTTCTTTATTTTATCCATTTCTCTTCATTGATCAATTCTCTGAACCAATGAATTGTATCAAGATATACCTGGGATGAGAATTAGCTGCGGATCTGTGGATCTGCAAATTCTGACTTTTTCTCGCTGAAAATTTCATTTCGGTGAAATGCGTGACCGCAGGCAGTTGTTTGCGTTACGTACATTAACATCCTCCGCTCTGACCCCGGGAGCAACAGTGGCTGCTTTGACAGCTCAGCGAACGCGCAGCCACAGGGGTCATGTACCGAGCGCGGGCCATAGACGCGCGATCAGGACCGAGGGAGACGGGCAAGACCCGCACGTGCAACAAGCTCCTCACTCGTCTGTCCCCCGTCTCTCCCCCATGTCTCTCCCTCGTCTCCCCAAAGTCTCCTGACGAAGCGCAGCCAAGACTCACTATAAAATAAAGCTCAGCTACCTAAATTTTCGCTTGCATTGACAATGCATGTTTTTTGGGCAAAAAATAAAATGTTACCAAATCAAACAGAACAAACCAAAACAGTCGTGTTTTGTTTATTTTGCTTACTTTAGAAAGAGCCTGTGAGTCATTATTTGACTTTTTGGGCTGAGAGTGGATTTTTTATATTTTTTTCCACATAGTTAGTGCCACTTTATTGCCAAACTCTTTTTGACTTATTGCATTGATATTGATCGTTTTTGGTAGTTTTAATACCTTTCCGGTGTGGAAGTTATATATTCTTCTACTGAAGTTTTATAATAATACACTGCATTCTTATTGAAAGCCACAAATGTCAGCTCTCAAATTCTTCTGAAATGATGTTTCTATCTGCTCCAGAGGCCGAGATACCAATCATTTAGTAGACGTTGAATTTCAGGAAAACTTCAGGTTTTGGAGGGTGGTTCTGAAGTCGGCCTCAGGTTTTGCAGGTCTGTTTAACCAGCTGTGTCAGGCCTTAATGGGTTAAAGAAAATGGACAAATTGGGAATTTTTTTTTAGATTTATCTTTATCGGTCAAGAAGTCGTTTTGGCATTCATTATTGTTTAAGTCAAATGCTTTTTCTTAACCTACCGTCCATTCAAATGAATTATAGTGACAGGTCTACTTGTATGTGTACTACTTTTATCTCACAACATGCCTTTGGCATGTATCATTAGACATATTCCAAAAAAATTGGACGTAATTTGTGTCTATAGAGGGAGCTTGACGTTCAACTTGCCAACAATTTGGGCACACAAAACAATGTATCTTCAATAATAATCTAAGTTTCCATTTGAAGTCTGAAGGGGCCGGTCTTAGTAGAATCAAAAAAGTGGTGTCGTTTCAGGCATGAAAAGAGGTTGCATTACTACGCTTTATCATTTTCACTAGATTTGACCCTTTTGCCTGCCCTGTTCAGTCCAGTCTCCTTGTTAAGTCCCATCTCTGAGCCGTCCACAGCGAGCAGCACATATACTTCTAAGCACTTCCCGATTAGCACAGTTTGCCGACAGCGGTCTGACCTGCAAGGATGGATTTGTGGGCCTTGAACTCCTGCCCTCCCACGTAGAGGCTGCAGTCGGTGAAGCGTGAGCACTCCCAGAGGTTCCCCAGGTCGTCAGACAGCTGGCACTCCGGCACCTTCAGCATGTTCATGTTGGACTGGCCCGAAATGTTCACCGAGTCCTGGACAACACTCACCTACACAGGACCACAAGGTTTATCACAAAATGTTGCTTAGTAGGCTGGAAACTTAAGCAATTAGTATAAAGTCAGCGTGTTGCTTTTGAAAGAGGAATTTTATTGAGCCAAGAGCTGGCAGATTTTTCTTTTCATTTTGTAGATTCTGCTCCACCAATTACCTCTTTATCAGCTGATTTATTTCCCCCGGAATAATCAAGCATAAACTTATACACACACACACACACACTTTCAAGATGACTTGTGTGTATTGGCAGAGCTGAAGTTGGCTGGTTGACATTGTGAACATGCGTTTTTGATGTTGTTTGCTTTGGCCAGACTGTTTAGCAAAAAATGTGAAATCCTCTGCAGAATTCTCGCGAGACTGCAAAAAGCAACCACTTTTATAAGCTCTCCCATTAAAAAAAACAAAAATAAATAATCGCTCAAACTTAAGTTTTGAACAAAATAAGACATTACAGCGTTTTTTCCTTAAACAAATCAAGTAGCATCTTAGCAATAGAAGCAAGAAGGACAATGAATAAGAAAATATTAATTATTATTATGCGGAAAAAAAATAATAATCCGGGCAGCAGTATAAAACTAGAATAGCACTAAATCTGATTCCACTCTATCAAACACTTTGCGGCGATTTTCATTATGAAAATTCACCAAAAACATAAAAACGTTACTTTAAAAACTAGAGTCCACTGGCCCAGTAGACAAAACAGGGCCCCGGGAACAGCACTCAAAATGACAATTTGTATTTTGACATATTAATTTTGATTAAACTCGTGAAAGGCCATGCATATCAAAGTGAAGACTACACATGTTCAGCTAATTTCCCCCTTACATGGCTTTTGTTTTGAAGTTCCTGCGATAATACAATATTTCACCCTGCTTTCAGACAAGTGTTTGGTCTCAGGCTCAAAGATTTTACTAATAAATGTGATACAAGAAGACACATGGCAGACACACACAATGCACACCATCATTAATATTTTGACAGTGAGTATATAACCATTTGTAACCCAGCGCCATGAGACCGGCGGAGAAACAATGAAAACTGCTCAAACCTGATTAGGTCTTAGTTAAGGCTTCTAATTGCTATAAAGTGGCATTGCGGGTTTAATTTGAATTTAATTTGCCAATCAATGTGGCAACTTACCCAGAATTGCAAAATCTCTCCTGATCATCTGTGTGTTTGGGATCTCATTTACACAAAATTCATTGACACTTTGTTAACTTGTCTCTGAAGTAGACGAGCAACAAAACGTTAATTCTTTCTGACAAGTCAAACTAAACTTATTTAGAACAGGCGCTCAGAGTGTAAACTGGATTTGGAAAGCATCAATATTTGGAGTTAAATGACAAGCCTAAAGTCGTCCTGCCAAAGACGCAGTTTATAACGCAAGTCGCATTAAGACTGGATTCTGGGGAAAGTGCGGCTCTCCAACTGTTTAGCAGCGCCAAGAAACTCCCACGCACAATATAAAGCCATCAGTATTTGACCTGCTTCATTTCAAAGTCACTAGTTTTACAAGTACTCACTCTGGTGTGATCGCGTTTACAGCTGCCAAATCCAAAATGTAGATATGTATGAAACCAAGTACAACATCTGCAAAAACCTTTCAGCATTCAGAGTAATGAACTGAAGAGTTCCTAACAATCCAAATCACTGCCTGCTATGATCACATGAACATTTCATATGGGTGAGTTGTACGATTATGAAAAGCAATTATTTTTATGATCAATTAAAAAAGCAATTGTTCTGTCAGTAAATAGATTAATAATTTAGAACGCATTCGAGCTAGATAAAAACAAGGGGCATGAAGACCTTATGTTAACATTTTAAAAGTTGGTTCTCAAGCCGATTACCCAATCAGAAAGAATTAGCATCACACAAGTCGCATTTAGGTTGCCAGTTTCTTTGGTGAAATCCAGATGTTAGTTGCTTTAAAAGCAACCTTTTATGACTTGACTCACAGACATAATTATCATTTCGACATGCACCATTAGAACCAAAGCTGGTCCACTTATGCGGTCAATCCAGTAAAACATTCATCGGATTAATTGCACTTGTGATATTTGATTAATATTGATTATTTGGAGAGCACAAGCATTTTACTGTAAGTATTAAAACTGCAATCTAACATTTTTTGCAACTTTGAATCATGTTCGCTATACAAAGCTGAATCCTTAGTTATATAGACGTTTTACATGCCGCACTTTTCCAGGTGCTTGTAAACGCAGATGAACAATCACAGCTCAGCGATCACTGTGGAGGTTGCTCTGGTCAGAGACGAGTTCGTGTTAGCCCTGTGTCTTCGTGGTTTTTGTTGGATCTGATTCAAATCTGGGGGCGACAGTGGCTCAGTTGGTAGAGCATTGGCCTTTGAGCCTGGAGCCCACCACAAGACCTACTTCACAACTCCCACTGATGACTGCTTTCATTGTGTCCTTGGGCAAGACACTTTACCCCACTTTGCCTGAAGCCCCTGCTGAAAGATCAAGGCTCCTGTGGACCACCTGCAGGAGGATCAGTGAGGGGCTGGTGCTATTGTACTGGATGCAGCTCTCACTGCCGCACCCCCAATGGGGAAGAAAATGGATGGATGATTAAAATCTGACTAGTTCAATCCGTGTATCATCCGTGTATAAACTGATATACTGTGGGACTGACTGATGATCAGAATCTTTGAGGCATTACATGAAGCCTGCTGTTAGAGCTCTGGCTCTGCACTGGTCAGACCAACTTGAGGAGAGTTCGAGGAGACAACCATGACATTTGTTCATGATTACAATAATCGAGTTAAAAAGTTTACTTTGACAGCCCTTTCTTAAATACAACCAGTTATCAACTTTGAATAAGTATTAAAAAGGAAACTCTTACCACAGTTTGCAAGTAAGAGTTTCTACAGAGTAAGAGTATTGTGAAGTATTATGTGTTTTTTGGCTTAACTTTATACCATCATGATGTAATCATCGTTAGGCTTCCATTAAAAGTACATAAAAGTACAATCATCAAAACTCAAAAGTTCCCTTACCTCACAGAACAGAGTGAGTTTGTCATCTGGCAATAGTCCATTGGCTTCATCAAGAAGAAAATCTCTTCGAATAAATTTTTTAAACCCCCAGTCTTTGCCTTGGACAAATCTATATGCTCTTTGGCTTTCTGTTGAGACATAAACACAGTTGTTAAAATGTGAACTGTAGAGACACAGAAGGCATCACAGAAAAGTACAGGGAACTTACCCATCGCTTTAGTCTCTTCTCTTTTAGCGTTCAACAAAGAAAATTTGAACTTAGCTCTGACTTCACTTTTTGGACAACTAACAAGAAGTAAATACAATGACAGATAATCTTTGCTTTCATCATCCAGCCCCTTCGGATTGACTCGCAAACACCTGCAACAAAAGAAGGACAGCATTCAGCATACAAACAATCTCTGATCTGTTTTTGAGAAATCAACAACTTTGTAAAGTCCACTGCGGTTGTGATTTTGGACCAAAATAAATGTCAATGAATGGGTAAGGTTCAAAGACCAATAATTAGGCGAGGTAAGTTATGTGCATAGCACAGTTCATATACAAGGAAAGTCATAAATGATCTTCATATTTTAAAAAGAGTGAAGATATAATCCTTCAGTTGTTGCTGCGAAACAGAACTGTTTTAACCTGGATTTGAACATCATCAGAGTAGAAGCCTGTCTCACATTTTCAGGCTGTTCCAGATTTAACGGCATTTATCTGAGATGCTTCCTACCCTGATTTCTTAATTAGTTTCCTAAAACTATTTCCATAATTGATTAGTTGTGATTAATAAATATTGTTACAGCCCTATTTGTGTCCATCTTGTCTTGTTTTTTAATGACAACATTGAGCAGCAGGTACGCACATCCAGCCCAACTGACATTGTACCACACAAGAAGAATCGTGATAGTCATGAAAAAAAAAGAAAAAAAGAAAAACTCATCAAACATTAAAACAAAAACATACCATTTCATCTTGTCATTAGGCCCAGATGAGAAGGTCGAACTTTTCAAAACTTCACCCATTTCTTCTCGACAAAAACTGAAGTTGTTTATGGTCCACATGTAGGAAAACTTTACCACTTTAACCTGGTGACAGAACAAGACATGTAGTGCATGTGTTTGAACCATGTGTGGGTCCACTAGAAGCATGTCCACACCTGTGTGTAACACCAGCTCTCTGCCACAGGTCCACTGGACATCTCCCCAGGAGGGGGAGGGGTGGGAACCCGTGACATCACCGCCTTCAGTCTAACGCTCTTGTCCTCAAAGCTCTAACAATCACAAGAAAAAACAAAGAAAAGACATGTTTGAATAAACACAGGCATCAACAGTAACAAGCAGAGGCAGCGGCTACTCTCCAGATTAATGCCTGAATGAACACAATGTAAACAGGAACACCCAGATTTACTTAAATGAGTCACAACTTTGGGATCAATTTGGAGAAGTGTTACAATAGTTTCCGATCTAAGACAAACAGTCAGTCTACAACTCAAAAAATCTGAAATGAGTTTGGAAAAGAAAAGCAACCACAAGAATGTCCAATGCCACATTTCACTCTTTGGTGTGTGGCATTTCAAGCAAATCTGTAAGAACAGGTAGTTCTTGTACAGGCCCATAACAGATGTGGTAATGTGCTAATCAGAAACTTCAACTAGAATGAAAGGCTGTCTTTCAATTTGCACAGACTCACTCGAACACAAAAATGTTTTACCGACAGTTGAGCAAACCAAAAAAAATAAAGCCATCACTCCTTGCAGTTATGATTGTTGCCAATCCAGACGGACTGTGGGAAGCTGTTCTCGCCAAAACATTTTATTCTCCTTGAAGAGATGTCTAAAAAAAAAAGTGTGTAGACAGAAACATCTATAATTTACAATTGGAAAGTAATTACTGGCAGTTTAAAGTGTGTTTTGCACATATGTGACACAGGATGTTTGTACTGCCCGAGTAGTACGCCCACCGCCACAGCCATTTATTTCAATTATTCAAACTCAAAATACTTTCCAGTCATAAAAAGTTAAAACACACATGGGGATTTCTGAACATAGCAACTTGTAAACTGCATAAACAAAGGCAGCCTTGGTTACTGTATTCATCCACAAGTAGTTCCAGAGAGATAATTTATAAATGGCTTGAACACTATAAACAAACAGACGAGACAGACACCAGCGCTCCAGGAGAAGAGCTGCCAGGTACACGGGGAAATATCCCTTCTTTTATCGGGAAATGATAAGGGGTAAGATTTTATGAAATTATAACATAACTCAACAATAACCCATTCAAGTCTAATGAATAATTTAGTGAAACTGTTCAAACTCAGTCTCAGGCAAGAACATGTTCTCTAGATTACAGCTGCAGGCCAGCAAACCACTAACTACTAAATCCACTTTAAGCAAAACTTAGAGGGGACCATCTTTAAGCCAAATGAAACAAGGGAATCAGCCGGGGAAATTTTATCTTATTAATCACCTTTTGAATAGTTAGATAATACAGTTAAGGTGGTAATAATCTAAATTACCACAGCCTCCTTCAGAGCTCCATCTTCAGATTTCATTCTAAAAAAGGAGAAATTATATGTTAGATTATTAGAATTGGTGATCCACATGTCTGTGTATTTAACACCAGTTTAATACATCCTTTAAATATCTATACCATATTGCTGTATAAAGGAGTGTATACACATTGCTTAAAAGCAATTTGCATGTACGTTTGCATTCACGTTTATTGAAATGCAACATTGGAATATGTTTGAATATCTTCAAGGATTACAGAGTAGCAAAACAAGTACAAGTAAATGAGCACTTATTGCATCAAACGCCTCTTAATTAAATAGGCTGAGCAAAACTGTAAACTCATTATGCATCACTTAATGTTGGCAATGTTTTCAGACAAGACATATCTATATTTGCACATTTGTAAGAGCCTCATACAAAATGCAAGACCCATCCTTTTTGTCCTAGCACACAGTTTAGTGAATGGTCTAGTAAAGCACCAAATGGTTTCAATTAAAACATTGTGCAAAGGCACAACATTGTCCACGTATCACACTGCACTGATGTGTCAACAATAATCCAGAACTCCTGTCATAGCCACAGCAACACTATTTTCACTCCGTTTGTCATTTAGAACATGACTTTACTGCAAAACCAGGCATGTGTCGAACCTGACTCACCCAAAGGTCTGAAAGACTCAAATCTAGTATGTTGGATTTCTTCAAGAAGATTAATGACAACTTCTTTCGCGTTAAACCGCAGCCGCAGCTAACATGAAGCTAGCCCTGAGCATCCCGTGCAGAAATCCTTCTACATGTAACACATGCTACGGTAGCTTCAACATTACACTTTTGGCTTTGTTAACTACCCGGGAACAGGCAAATGTTAAAGCAGTCAGCTGCACTACAGACATGACATTCCCCACTGAGAAACAAAGGGCCTTCTATGATCCATGTAACAGGATGCTAGCAGACGAAGCTAACGAAAACTACCCCAGCTTGCTAGCTAGCCGAAGCTAATCTGTGCAGTGCTTTGCTTACGAAAAAAGTTTAAAAAAGATATGGTGGCGGCGTACCTTTCATATCCATTCTTCCAAATCTATGGAATGAAACATGCAGCTTTGTATCACAGCCGCCGATTTCTGTCCCGGCCACTTTAAAGTCGTTTTCAAGCAGTCTCTTCACAGGCTTTCTTTGTCTTATTTATATCAGAGCTAGCTTACATCTGACTAGCTGCTCGGTAGCTACACAGGCTAGAAATTATACGCACTGCGCATGCGCCCCATTTTGATAACAAGCTTCTCTCTCCAGCATGTGTGTTCTCCTCAAACAAAAACACATAAGTAATATGGACATTTGTACTGTAAAATACGATTAAAATATCTAGATCGAGCTGACAATACATGCACTTTTGGGTGTACTCCATTTCTAACCCTCTGCTGTTTAATTCAATGATAAATACTTGATTTTGCATTTTTGACTTGAGGGAGTTATGCTGATTTTTCTGGTTAAGCCATTTAAAATTGATCTGATTTGAAAAAAAAAAAAAAGACAAAAAACAATGCATTGATTTGACATTGATGGCAGGGTGACAAAACATGTTGACACAGGTTGTCCACATTACATGAAAAAATTGGTTCTATATTTAATGTGCAAGTAGCCATATAACTCAAGCTATATTTCCTAATAAAGAAATAAAGATAAAAATTCTTATGTGGAAATCCCACTCATGATTTTTCAAATTCTAAAAGTCTAATGTGATTTTATATATATATAAATAATAGTACATACTAATGTATATTAGTGCTGTCAGTTAAAAATGTAAATAATACTTTTTCTGTTAGTATTATGACTTTATTTAAATGTATTATGACTGTTATACATAATACATATAAAAAGTTCCCACCTCTGCACCACCTTTGCACCTTCTCCCACCTCCCACTGATGACTGCTGTCGTTGTGTCCTTGGGCAAGACACTTAACCCCACTTTGCCCAAAGCCCCCACTGAAAGATCAAGGCTATGCTCACACTCAGAGAGCAGCCTCCTGTGGACTCACCACCTGCAGAGGGTCAGTGAGGGGCTGGTGCTATGAGACTTGGGTGGCATCTCTGACTGCCACCCCCCTGACCCAGAAATGGGTTAAAGGGTAGAAAATGGGTGGATGGATGGATGACTGAAATCTGCATCACTACATAGCAAAAATGTGCGTGAGCTACCAAGCTGAGACCTTGTGCGCTGAGACCTTGTGCGCTGAGACCTTGTGCGCTGTGTAAAACAATAGCAGTTGCACACACAGAACATCCATCAGTAATCACAAATACTGTATCTCCAGGTCAACGTTGAAGCAATAGTGAATTCCATTACATATGAAACATCTGACTGATTTGAATGGAAACTTTAAAAAAAGAGTAGTCTTTATCAGATAATTTAAGTCATTTCTTCTTCGTTAAATAGTTCCGTAAACTCAAAGAAATAACACAAGCAAGCAGAGATCCATGTTAGACAAGTTTTTGGAGGGGATTGGATTAATATAAGCTTTTTGCTTCATCCAATTCTTTTTCCAGTCAAATCAAGGGACAGTTAGAACGGACAAATATGCAATGCAATTAATTGTGGGCATTTGTCTCTCACTCCACACAAAGAGGTCGCCAGTACAAACCTATTGTACATGTTTTCAGTGGAAGGGGAAACCTACGCAAACATGGGGAGAACATGCAAACTCCTCTCAGAAAGGCCACATTCTGACCGGGATTTGAACCCAGGACCTTATTGCTGAGAAGCAAGAGTGCAATCCACTCAGCCTCCGCACCGCCAACTATGATGCAATTAATTGTGATTGAATATTTTAATTGTTTGACAGCACTAAAATTACATTTTATTTTTTTCCATTTTGGAAAAGTCTAAATTGGAAACTCCTTCAAAGGTGGTGGATAATGAGCATGTGAAGATTCTGTCGGTCTTCCAGACACAGACCGACCCAATGGTGATGAACCAGCCTGACATCGTGGTGGTGGACAAAGGGCAGGACAGCCGTGGTGGTGGACAAAGGGCAGGACAGCCGTGGTGGTGGACAAAGGGCAGGACAGCCGTGGTGGTGGACAAAGGGCAGGACAGCCGTGGCGGTGGATGTCGCAATTCAACGCAATGGTAACCAGGAAAAAAGAACACGAAAAGCTTGAGAAATATCAAGGGCTCAGAGAGGAGCTGGAGAGGTATGTATACAGTATTGTATTGAGCATATAGTATTTAGGTCAACATGTAAACAATCCTCTACAGCTTTTCATGATCCAACTGTTAATACTAATTTATAAGAAATTACAAAAACAGTGAACACAATACCACATTATGAGTATTATTGTATATTTTAGTTCTCAAGCTGATTCTCCAGCGAGTCATCATTTGGGTTGCCAAATTATTTTGGCAAGCTAGTTTGGACAAAGCCTAGAGCCTAAATGTGTGAAGGCATGGAGGAAAGACACTGGCAAGAACGGCTAAGATAGTATTTTAACATTGTAAAGGATGTGGATTGAAACTCTTCAGCTTGATTCAGGTTTGTTCATGCCACAAATCAAAACAATAATGAAACCTAAATTATGATTTTCGGGTAAGGTCTATGTTTCTTACGCGGATATCTTAGTCATTAGTCCTCACAGTAATATTTTGTGATTTTGATATTACAGTATATCTTAAAACAGGAGTCTCCAACCCTTTTACCAAGAGAGCTACTGAAATGGTACTGAGCTTATCTTCTGCCTTATATTATTTGCATGATTTCTATGTACAATGACTAATCATAAACCCTGTAATAGATTGCACCGAGAAAGATGATATGAAAATACAAGTGCCTTTCTTTCTCAGTGAGCAAATTGATCAACCCTTGTGCTACCTTCGAGTCAAAATGACCCGCCTCAGTGATTAAAAGGAGAGAAAACACCCTAAATTTGGGTTGAAAATAGTCTAAATGACTCAGGGCAGTTCAAGTAAAAAAAGAGGACAGCACAAGCGATAAAATGCTTAATTGACAAGTGCACCCTCATAGTTTGACTACAGTTTGATTATATCCTATTTTTGTTTTACATTTTACAGTTAGTTTTGGAGAGTAACGGAACACATGTGCCAGGGAAATGTGCTCAAAAAACTATCAATTTCAGAACACATTAATTTTTAATTTGGCAAGATTCAGATTAAACATCCTTTTCTTAAATGGTATTTGGTATTTATATTACAAAGAAATATCAAAAATCGAGAATTGTCTTTTTCTAATTAACAGTAAAAACATATATTTTGTATTTACAATATTATGCAAATGTACATTAATATAATCCTAACATTCAGAATACCATATTCTGATTGGACATAGGACCAAGAATGGGTCACATAATCACATGTCACATGATCAATGTCATTCTCCCCCAACCCTGTTTAAAGTACAGGGCCAGGAAGAAATAAAAGCATGCACTCTTTTACAAATTCAACATATTTGAAAAGACTTAAATCATCTTTAATACTTGTCTCTCATCCCGATCACCACCACCTCATCAAAGTTCATAGTTAGACTTTATTCGAAAGCGACATTACGCTCAGAACAGTTCTGCACAGATTATAGCTATACAGTTTTTCTCCATCTGCAGTTCCTGGTTACATGAATAAAATATACAATAACATGTAATGGAATTTAAAACAGTCAGAAAATGCCCTCTCCACACACACACACACACACACACACACACACACACACACACACACACACACACACACACACACACACACGCACGCACCATACCGCTACATCACAACCACAACTCAGATTTACATCACCGCAGACAATACTTGTATTTGTGGATTTGAATGGGACAGTGCACATTAACAAAGCTGCCTCAGTCTTGCATTGTATGGCCTCGGTCCTCGTTCTACAGCCTGAGTCCTGGATCTATTGATTCATCCATCTATGGGAACGGACCCCTTCCTCAACGTGCTCTTGGACACTCAACATTCAACATTTATGGACTTTATGCCCATTTATAGACATTGGTAATCTGCCACTCATGGACAGCTCTGTGTTATTTATTTATTTTTATCATTGAATTTTCTGTGTGGGGGCAACAGTGGATCAGTTGATAGAGCATTGGCCTTGGTCGTAGGTTCAAGCCCACTGTAGGACCTACTTCACGACTCCCACTGATGTCTGCTGTCGTTGTGTCCTTGGGCAAGACACTTAAACCCACTTTGCCTGAAGCCCCGCTGAAAGATCTCCTCTCCTGTGGACTCACCACCTGCAGGAGGATCAGTGAGGGGCTGGTGCTGTGTGTACTGGGTGCAGCTCTGACTGCCACCCTCCCGACACAGAAATGGATTGAGGGGAAGAAGATGGATGGATGGAATTTCCTGTGTTTGAAATGTTTCTATTATAAACATTCAAATGCCACTACTTTTAAGCTGCTTAGAAATATACCCTCTTGAGGTCGACCTTTTAGAGTGTTTTGATTCTCTGATCTGTGTTTACAAATTCGACGGTTTAGTTAAGTCCTCCGAGAAAACTACTGCTGTGATTTAGGGGCTATACAAGAATAATATGAATTGAACTAAATAATCATGTCCTCTCATTCACAACATTTGTAATCACTATAACCAAAGTAATCTATTTCAAGTTTTTAGTTGGTGAAGTAAATGGACCCATGACCAACACTTGCCTATATTCAGTCCAGAATAATGGTGGTGGATAGAGACTTGTTTAAGCAGCAGATTGGACACCTCTTACTGCTAATCACTCGCTCAGGCTTTACGTGTCTCCTGCCTCTGATATTGCGCTGCCCGGGGTAAGCCATTCTCTGAAACAATAGCGGGTAATGGCTCCCTGTAGACTGGCGATAACTAATTCCCTTTCAGATGAACGCACACTCTTCCGCAGAATGAGCGATAAATACCTCTGTTTGCACCAATCAGTCAACATTCATGCACAAAATATTCTTCGGCTTTTGGTTTTTCCTTTCTTGCCGCGACAACAAACACCTCCAGCACTTTGGTCATTCTCAGATATATTGTTGGGAGGGAAAAAAAACAGCAAGGGAAATGTCACGTTTTGATACAGATGCCAACTTCAAACACTTTTAACGTCTTTTGGTGCTGCTCTGACCTATCTTTAAGGAGGAAGGATGAATGATAAGATCGCTGCTGAAGACGTATTCCTTATCTCGCAGTTAATTTAAAGCCATACAATACTTTATACTTGAAAGTTTCCCAAGAATGCAACAATTGAAAACACATAGACAAAAGAATGGATATTTAATGAATGGTTTTTCAAATTTCCTTGACATTCTTACTTGAATAATAGCACCGGATTGGCCCTTATTTAAAACATTGCTTTAATAACTCAAGTAGCTCTCTTCAGTATCTCTTTAATCAAACTGTAACAATGGCACACAGTCTCATCTACAATCCTGTCATTATTCAAGTGTCTGAACTGTGTATTATTTCTGACACTTTCTTGTAATGAAGACTGATACGGGGTAGAGTTATGAGCGCAGTGAAAGGACTATATGACAGGACTTTGACAAGAGCAGACTCCGGTGCTGACCTTATCACAACATTACCAAGCAGCACCGTCAAGAAGCAGCGAATTACACCTGACGTCACTTACACACTTTCTTATAGAGTTTGAAGAAGAAAAGAGAGAAATGATATTGAGTAGAGGCGCACAAAAGATTGTCGGACAAGTAATGATATTGTATTTCGTTTATTTATAGCACATGAATAAGGGATGGGACAAACTAAGGAAGTTGCGACAGTATTAGCATTTAATTTAGGTGAGAAAAGGACTATATACACTGAAAACCCATGCTTTTTTTTTTTACCTATATTGATATGCTGTGACGACCTGAGACAAAAGTGGGAAAAGGAGGTGAGTTTTTGAACTTTTCATCATGGGGAAGACAGGAACCTGTCAAAATAAAGAGAAAGCAAACTTTGAAAGGTTCAACATTTGTCTTTTAAAGTCACAGCGCACTGTACCCAGGACCTCAGGGAACCGTGTTACAGTGGGCTGCAGGAACCTTAGAAACCACACAGAGCCATATACACGTTTTGTAACATATGTTTACAATGTCAACTTTATAAACCTTCTTCACCTGACTCACATATACGCAACAAGTGAGAATATATATCTCAGAAATAAAGCAGGACAGGGCCTGGTTAGTACTCTGATGGGAGACCTCTGGGAACACCAGATGCCACAGTGGGGCAGCTGCGGCTGTGAGGTACCACATTGCCTGATATGAGTCTGGTGTGAGCGTGCATGGTCAGGGGCGTTCCAAGGGTACCCCGGGGCCCCAGCCAACAGAGTCCTTGGGGGGCCCGATACCGACCACATAACTACATAAAAAGGTTTATATTATAGTAGGTATAAATATATATTTATAGTCTATATAAAAACAGAGGGCCAAATGAAAGAATAGGCTAGCTTTAATCTGCAAAAAACGGCTTGTTTCTACCTTTTACCGTTTGTGAGCAATCTGTCCCAGAATATAATATATACAGTATATTTTAAATCAAAACACAGCTCTCAGTTGGATGCAAACCCGGGGCATCACAGCACAAGCGCTGCAGCTTAACCACTAGACCACCCTTATATATGATACATGACTGTCCCCAGGTAGGAGTTTCAACTGTTAATGAAGAATGTGGCAAGTTTTCCATCAGACGAGAAGTTTTTATCCACCAGCTCGTCACTGTAGGTAGCTGCTGTAGCCTGTAAAAGTCGACCGCTTGTGTCAAATCAGTCGGCCCTTGGGGGCCCCCTGCCGCTTTGGGGGCCCCAGGCAGCTGCCTGCTTTGCCTAATGGCAAGGGACGCCTCTGTGCATGGTTGGTGGTGGTTGGAGGGGCTGATGGCACATACTGGCTGCTTCCCTTCTGTCAGTCTGTCCCAGAGCAGCTGCAGAGAGTGAAGGCCATGCGGAGCGGCTTTGAGCTCCTCCGATGCCACACGTGTCATGAAGAAAACAGGAAGAGGAGGGAATACCGAGTTATTCGAGTTTTTCCTTGCAGATGCAGGAGGGTCAAAGGACAGTGGTGATGATCCAGGAAACTCAACAACATTTATGGATATTTATGTTCATTGGTCTCTGCCCCTTATGGACTAATGGCTCTATGTATTTTTAATATAATTGCATTTCTTGTGTTTGAACTGTTTGATTCTCTAATCAATGTTGGCAAATTCAACGGTTTTGTAAAGTCCTACAACAAAACAGCGGATTTAGGGCTATACAAGAATAAATTGAGTTGAATGAAATACAGAATTGCGGCAATAACACCTGATTGTGTTGTTCATGATTGTCTTATAAGACTTATAAGACAAGTATCATTTATCATTTTCTTCATATCTTTAGCAAAGGGCACAACCACAGTGAGGATCTCTTAATCTTAATCTTAATTTAACGAGTGCCTTCAAAAATCCACAGCGGCTAAACTAGACTGGTCCAAATATATACAGTATACTCCCTCAGCATTGACACACATCTGGAACGTAGAATTGAGCCTGTAAAGCCTTTTTTGTGAGGAAAGAGTTGGTCGTAAGAATGCACTAGATAATTGTGTTTCCGGGTACGCCATCATGTAAGCGAACGTGCTCGTGGACCTTTTGAGCCAAGACCAGCCCCCACTGGTCCTACAGTGTGAATCGTTGCTATACGGCTCCATATCCAGTGTGTATGGACAAACCAAACTCATCACTTTGCCCACCGGTGCATAGTCAACGCGCTGCTATTTGTAAACAACCTCTCATTCTCTGGTCATGTTAAATGTGATTGGCGGTGAGCTGCGGGAGGAATAAGACATTATTATGAGTGGATTAGAAGCGTCTCATTGTTGAAGCCCCGCGCCGCTGATAACCTGTCGTTCTTCCGGTCCGCTACACCTGCTTTCCTCTCGCGCTGCTGGGACCCGCTTTCTTCCTGACAAGCTCTTGTCTTCGGTGCCCTTTCATCTCCTTGCTTCACAAAAGAGAGTTTAGAAGTCTTTTATCTGAGCCTAGGGGTACAGTGTGGTGTCTGTCGGGAGAGGATTCAACCAATTAAGAAGCTGCAGCTATGCTTATGAACCATACATCACAGGGAGGTTTAAATGTTTTCCACTATCCCACTTTTCATAATTGGCAAATCCTCTGCGAGTGACTATACACAAATTGAACCTCATGTGTTTAATGCACATCCTGTTATGGACCATATTCTCAAGGTTATTGCTGCTGAGAATGTATTTGTGCTTTGGCAGACATTGTTTATGCCTTCGGGAAATGTCACTATTTAATTGTTGTAAATAAATCGCAATCTGGTTCTATGGAATATTTTGTTCTTTGCGCCAGCCATAAGACAGGAGCAGATGTTTAATTTTGAAGTAATAATCACAGAAACATTTTTATACAAATGATTTACAGATTGGTTTAATGTGTTTTGAGTTTATGTTGTTATTTTATTGTTTACAATCTAGAACCTTTTAATTATTCTATATAGCTTCTAAGCACAGTGTCAGAATATTGATATATCCCATCCATCCAATTTAATAATGTCAAACTTCATGTGGATCAGAAATATCTTAGCCTGGTCTTACCATACAATCGTACTCGTATTTCGTGCTAAGATGGATTTGCTCCGTGAACAGGTGGGAGGGGTTAACTCCGTTTCCATTTTGAAACGATTGGATCTGAGTTTCCCGTGACGTATGTAATGCGCCTGAGTGAGAGAGCATTTAGCCTAGCTTTAGCCATCTCCTTTGCCGCTAACGGAGCCCGTGGGGAGTAGATCCACAACATCTTTGCAGCAATTACATTTGCATTACATTTTACAAAAACATTCCTCTTGCTTCGGCTTCAATTTCTCGATATTCAGTGCAAACTCTTGACGTCACCAACACCTACCTACAACTCCCGCCTCCCCCGCACGCTGAATGGTCGGGAGTAGTTCAATTGAGGTAACCACACCCACAAGGATCAGATCCAGACGTACATGTAGGGAAAACATAATCTAAGATGTCATAAATCGCCAGTCCATCAAATGCATCTGTGATAATAATGTGGGTGATACACCATACAACACTCAAAACTTGTCAAATTATAACCATCTCATGCATAGAGGTGATGTCAGCTCATATGAAACACTTGGATCTGTTTCATTTCATTTTCATTTTATTTATTAGGCAGGAAAGATTTAAAACAAAATCGGGCCTGGCTCAGTACAAACTGATTTTCAGCAGGTTCCTGCTCTGCAGAACACACAAACACAGCATTAACATCACCACTCGACACAAAACATACTGTCACACATAAAAGAAGGAACACACTGGTGTGAGGCTATAGTGTCCGTCACTAGTGGTCACAACGATAGCTGTCCATCAGATGTTTCAGCATAGTCTTTTTAAAAGGTCCAGGTGACTGTATGGTTCTTATGGTGAGGGGGATCTTGTTCCAGGCCCTGGTGAGCTCACAGAAGAAGGAATTTTGTCCGTAGGTGTTCCTGTGGTGAGGTATGGGTAAGATTTGGTTTGTGGTGGATCTGGTTGAACGCTCGGATCGAGAGCTGGGTCTTGGAACCAGAACAGACAGTGAGGCCGATGGGCAGTTGTTGAGCAGGTGGAAGTAGAGCTTAATCCCATGGCTCAGGGCGTAGTTCTGGAAAGTCAAGGCCCCAGACTGTGATAGAGCAGTGCAGTGGTGGGTCCAACCAGGGAGCCTGTGGTGGATCTTATATGCTCTATTGTAGAGTCTCGCCACAGGTTCTAGTATTTCCTTAGTAGTGAGCGTCCACACTGGGAGACAGTAGGACAGGGTAGAGAGTATGATGGCATGCAGGTATGTCCTTGAGACGGGTAATGACAAACATGCTCTGATCTTACCATACACAAACAGTTTTTGGTTTAACTTTTTAGTGAGGTTTTGTATGTGGACACTGTATGTAAGGTGAGAGTCAAGGGTTACCCCCAGGTATTTGTAGTTTAAAGCAGTTGAGAGTTTTTGGTTTGCAATGACAAGGGGGTTGGAAGTGGACAGCTGTCTCCGTGGTGAGTGGAAGTACATGCATTCTGTTTTCTTAATGTTGATAGTTAAATGATTGTCTTGGAGCCATCCATGTAAAGACTTTAAATCTGAATTCGGGCGTTCTGCTCTCCCAAAATTCCATCCGATGGGCGGGGGAGCGACTGAATTTTGCGTTGCATTATGGGTAACACTTGCCTTCGCAACTTCCGGTTCTCTCTGCCCGGCGCATTTTCTCTAAATGGTTGAGTGTTTTCGTCATTTTCTGTATGCAAATACATTCCCGTCTCTAACTAGTGGCATATCGCGCAAATCATCCGTCCAATTCACATTCTTCCCTCTTAGCTGAACTTCATTCTCATTGTTACCATCTGTCACTCGCACACACAGCCGTTTTCGTTCACTCTGCTCGCTGTCATCTTCTTCTAAATCTTCATAAACACCATCCGCTCGTTGAACTAGCAACAACAATTCCTCCTTTCGTTTTCCCACACTGCAAATATCCTTTCGCTTCAACCTTTCACGCAATTCAGGCACTGTCAATCGTTTGTTGTTTTCGTGAGCCATATTCGCCATTGTATGAAATCAACCGGAAGTGAACTGGGCAACAAACGGTGTCATTTTTTGATCACAGCGCCGCTCAGTGGATGAAATTTTGGGAGAGCAGAACGCCCGAATTGAGTTTTTGATTAATGACCTCTGTGTTTGGGCCAGATACAAAGATCACTGTATCGTCTGCATAGAGCAGCGATTGTGAATGGTTTACAGCATTCGGGAGATCATTTATATATATAAGGAACAGCGGGGGGTCCAGAATACTGCCTTGTGGTACTCCCATAGAGCAGCCCAGCGGCCTAGATTTTACTGACCCTATCTTTACGAGCTGTGTTCTATCCTTTAGGTAAGAAATAATCAAATCTATGGCATGTGACGAGAAATTGAGAGAGTGAAGCTTATTTTGGAGAAATAGGTGATGGACCGTGTCGAAAGCTTTGCGGAAATCTATATACACCGCTCCCATGGTGTGTCCCTTGTTCAGGGAAGCACGTATATGTTCAGTGAACAAGAGCAGTGCGGACATTGTCGACCGCTGGGGTCGAAAACCATGTTGGGAGTCTGTGAGTAGGTTGTTAGTCTCAAGATAATCCACAATTTGGGTGTTTAGTGTTTTTTCAAGTAATTTAGAAATGGTTGAGAGGACTGAAATTGGGCGATAATTTGAGATATTGGTAGGATCGTCTGATTTGAAAATGGGAGTAATTTGGGACATTTTCCAGGTATCAGGAAATTTAGATTGCCTGATACACAGATTTATAACATGGTGAAATAGTGGTAGTAAGGTAATGGCATGGGTTCTCAAAAAATGTATATCTAGATTATTTATGTCACGGGCACGTGAAGCATCTGTGCTCCTCTGCCTGTGAGCCCGCCTCCCCACACCTGCACGGTGACGTAGCATCATATTTACACCAACAACACATTTTCTCCAAGTTGACATGAAGCTAACACAAAAAAGCACAGATGTATTTATTTCTTTGAACCACACGCTGGACTCGGAGAGAGGCTGCATGGGCTGACCATAGATGGCAGAGATTTGCTGGTTCAGTTTCTCCCCGCTGTCAATCACCTCTTGGAGGCGGGCTTTTTAACGTCACAGATTGATGCTCGACACGATATGAAACAGCTCGTTTCTGTGCCTCTCGAGAAAGATTAATGAAAAAACGACTCTAGGCATGTGTATGAAGGCCAGATGCTTTACAGAAGACAAATAAGAATAAAATAAGAAATAAGAACAAATAAGAAACAAAAATAAAAAGCAAAAAAATAAACAGTGAAGTGTAGACAGTTTTGAAAAGACGGGTTTTGAGAAGTGATTTGAAGTTCTAAAAAGAGTCAGAGTTCCTGATGTGTGGTAGGACTGAGTTCCAGAGAGTGGGGGCAGCTGATGATGGAGGAGGTCAGTGAGGTAAGAAGGGGTGAGGTTATGGAGGGGCTTCTGCTGTGGCTTGTGTGAGGGAGGGGCGGAGACGGGCGATGTTACGAAGGTGGAGAAAAGATGACATAGACATAATTGACCTGAGTTTAACAACATCTCTTTGCACCGTGGTTCTTGGACCCCAAACTTCTTGTCCTCCTTCATTATTGTAGTTTATTCTCAAATAGCACCTCTGAATACATTTTTGTCAACCTAAATAGTTTGACTGGAAAGAAAACAAATTCAATTCACTTAGAATGCTGCAAAACACTCCCTTCCTTTGTATTTATTCTTTGTGCATTATGCATTTGCTCATAGCTGTGCTCTCGAGAGATACCAGCGTGGATGCATTACGAAGCGACTGGCGTTGAGCAATTGCTGATCCCTGCGAGTGATAAAGAGAGGCAGCTTGTCTGAGCTGAAAAAGGAGGAGAGCAGTGCAGCATGGAGCAGGAAGGTCACCAGCTGCCATCCAAGGCCTGGTTCAGCCGAACAATGTCCGCAAGTTCTCCTCTATGCTGACAGTAATGATAATGCTGTGTACTATCAGGTAAAAAGTATAGGACAGAGATTCTGCATTGTGTAGTGAAGGACGCAATCAACTAGAAGTGAAGACTGAATAATACTACTAATACTTCCTGCTTTTACATTTTCCTCATACTTCCTGCTTTTACATATATGGGTTTTCTGAAGGTCCATCATGTGCCATTTCCCCTAGTATGGTAAACATTGGTATTATTTATGTGTGCACTGTATTTTTCCTTCTACATCATTGTTTTATATTATTTATTTTATCCTAATTACACGTACATATCATTTTGCATTATATTTTATTTAAAAAAGAAAATACGCTAAAAGCCACAGTCTCCAGGTAATTTATTTTGTGGGTCAATATAGCTTATGTTTTACTCAGCTAATATAACAAAATGAGTTTGTTGCAGAAAACTAATGGTGCATTCCTGTTGTGGCTGAGACTCTCCAAAAGTCTGACCTCTAAAAACATCTGAATGCAAACAGGTGGCAGAAGAAAGTTACATCCTGTGAAGATTTACTATGAAAATTCAAAAACAACATCAGTGAAATAAATATTTGAATGTCCAACACATTGATCTTGGCCTTTAGCAGCGGCTCTGGAGAAGAATGATCAGGAGATATGCAAAGGCGATAATCCGCCGGACCTCGTACTATCACTAACTTTGCATATGGTCATTTTAAGGACACGCTTATCTCTCTGCCGCCGCTGTTTACCATGCATATGGATTTATTTACTTTCCTCTTGACACTCATTTGTTTACAGGGGCAGGTATAAAAGTCACATTCACTGGGATGAGACAATAAGATGCATCCTGTGGTAGATTTACGACGGTAATGATGAGATAAAGTTGTTTGTTCAGTGTTTTCTGCAACAATCTGTTTCACTAAATATGGCTATTTGTGGTTTTCTTGGGAGTTCCAAGCCACATGGGAGAAATAGGCAGTATACTCTTGCTTTTGGAATCACATACAGAATATTTGGCCTTGGTAAAAGCTGCATTTTTATATTAAACTTCAAAAAATAATACGAGCTTTAAGTAATGACTGGTTTCCTCGATCGTTTGGTGGATCACTTTTTGAGTCAATATCTACTTGAAGCTTGGAACTGAAATCTTCCTCATTGAGGCTTCTTCATCACTTTTACCATCAAACTGCATCTCAACCATTTGGATGAGGTCCATAATAAATAATAATAACAAAAAACCTAGAGGTTATATAAAAAAACTAAACTTTATTTGTGTTTTTAGTCTTCCTCAATCTTGGAAAATCAAAATATGTAAAAAAGAAATTGCTTTATTGAGGAGTGAACATTAAAGGCTAAACCCACATGAAGTTTCAAGGTTCAAGAATGATATAGGAACTGAATTGTGATTAATTCAAGGCTTCGGCACTCACAAATATCTGTTTTCACCTACTCTTGCCCAGTTTGAACACAAATAATACACACAAAAACAAATACTCAAGATTGCTTTGTTCTGGTTCTTACAGACGGGCAGACACCGGCTTCTCCATCATGCCGTTTGAAAAGCCAGCGGCTACATTTCACAAGTATACTTTTCACAATAATCAAATGATACTGTAGATCCTTTACAGTGCAAGTACCAGCAATGTTACATTTAGAAGTCTACTGCAAAGAAACTTGCTCTCCACAGACGTCTGACTCCAGCACAGTCATGTACAGAGTGTCCATGAGTTATTTTCAGCGCAGAGGATTTCATTTTGTATTCTCCGTGTGTACGTTCTCATGTAAATTTATTTCCATTGCCGTGTTAAATCATTAACGTCAGCTGTTCCAAATCCAACGCATGTTTCTCTCTGACATAGAAACAGATTGAACTGAAGTCAATTTCACCTGAGTAAATTGAATTGTCTCTCTGCCAGTCGAGTCCGCTCTATGTAATACCGCAAAATGTAAATGCAGCTTTTCCACTGCAGTATTATAGCGTCAAATGTGTTCTGTGTTATTAGGTGAACTGTACCGCTCATTACATTTCCCATGAAACAGGTTGCTCTCTTGAAAATCTTTATTGTGGCTCGAAGCTGCTGATTTTGAACACTGTACACTTATTTATCAGGAGGCTTTCCCCCATCACATTCTGGGCAGGTGCATCATGGCTGCCCTCCACAAATTACATCCAAGATAATTTCGTATTGATTAATGTAGCTGCGTTCCTCCTGGCTCTCTATTGCGTACCTACAGTCTATTTGGTGTGAATTACTGAGGCTATTTCGCCGCACAAAGCCAGCTCTCTCCACTTAGGCACGGGCTCATGTGTGGACTGGGGCCCCCAAACTACCCCTCAGAACGCAGCAGCCGCTAAAGCTTTTAATTGCCTTCTGTGCTAACGGTCCTCCTGATAAAGACGGAGGAGGACGCACAAGGATGAGCTGTTTTAGAACAGAGGGGTGTAGGAAGTTAGGGGGTACACCAGGACCATGAAACAACATTATAACACTCTTATATTGTATACATCTTCACAATCAAAACTATATTTGGATAGTTCATGCGCAAAAACATGAACTATCTCAACTTACATCATACAAAATATTGGAAAGGCCAACAATATGCCCTTAATATCCAGTAATTTCTTGATAAGTCAGATTGATTTTAGTGCCATAAAAAATAAAGTTTCACCCCATTCTGCCAATAACAAAACATGTTGAAGATACACTAGAGGAAAACTACTTTTTGACACATTTTCAAAACAGTATGTTGGTAATTTTTCATGACTAAAAAAGATTCAAAGCTTGCAATTTAGACTTTAAGATGTTTTCCTGTCCCATCCAGATCCAGGAAATGATAAGTGCAGATTTATGCGTCAATGCCCCAGACCAGGGGAGCTCAAACTATGATCGCAATTGACTGGTTATATCTTCTACTGACACTGAATTATATAGTTTGCAAATGAGATGTTTTTCATTTCGAAGCATTCAGCACAATCTAAAAATAACACAACACTTTTTTCAGCTTTTGCTAAATAAAAGCAGTCTTGCATAAGACAGAGTTTGTTTCTACAAAAATCCTAGCAGGTGGATTGCATCGGTAACCAGTGCTTAGGAGCTACCTGTGACAACATACACTTAGATTCTGACCACAAAAGTTAGAAATTGTAAGAACAAATAGACACTGAATGACTTTATTAGACCACTACATACAGTAGTACATATGATACATACTCTCTCTGTAAGTATATATGTAAATAGAATAATAATACATCAGGTGACAGTAGCTCAGTCTGCAGAGCATTGGCCTTTGAGCCTGGAAGTCATGGGTTCAAGCCCACCATGGGACCTACTCCAACTGCTCCCACAAATGTCTACTGTCGTTGTGTTCTTGGGCAAGACACTTAACCCCACGTTGTCTAAAGCCCCCGCCGAAAGATTCACCGCTGACGGAGCAGCCATCTTCCTGTGGACCAATGACGTGTGGACCCACCTCCTGCGGGGATCAGTGAGGGACTGGTGCTTTGAGCATTGGGTGGCAGCTCTTTTTCAGATTCAGATTCATTTATTTGCCATTTGCAGTAAAACCACATAGGAAAAACTGTGCAACACTACCCCAGTGTGCACCAGACGACACACACCAGAGCTCTTGCCACGGCGCCATCTTTACGGTGCCATGCGAGGCTTCAACACTGTGGAAATAGTGGGGGGGTGGCAAAACTATTGCCACCCCCCGACCCAGAAATGGACAAATAAAGGGGTTGAAAATGAATGAATGAATAATACATAATTGAAAAAGAAAATGTTGATGGTCGCGCATTGAACATGCAACAGTTCGAAGATAAAAGTATTTATTACAAGTAGTAGTAGTAGTAGTAAGTAATCTTTATTTATATACCGCCTTTTCACTCCAGATCAGAGTCTCAAAGCAGTTTACAATTATTTTTGGGCATTAATCTCTCACTCCACACAGAGATGGGAGCGTGGTCGCCAGTACAGGAGGCGCATGCCATACCTATTGTACATATTTTGAGTGGTAGGGGAAACCGGAGTACCCGGAGGAAACCTACGCAGACACGGGGAGAACATGCAAACTCCACTCAGAAAGGCCCTGGTCCAACCGGGATTCGAACCCAGAACCTTCTTGCTGAGAGGCGAGAGTGCTATCCACTCTGCCACCGTGCCGCCCGCCACCGTACAACTGTTCAATCAAGTTGTGAAGGAGTGCATTTTGTCAGTACTCCTCTTAGTCTTGTAATCTCATTAATCTGAGATCAAATGGAAATAGATACTGGAAAATCCTAAACCTAGTTTCACACCACTATTTCCACAGTGTCGAAGCCTCCTTTATGAACAGGGTCCTAATCAGCTGAACAAGCGTGAAAAGGCTTGTTCGGAGTTCCAGATTATTTCCTTGTGTGTACGTTGGCTACAGTAGAGCTCCCGATAACCCCTGTGGCGCGATAAACAATCAAAGTGCGACTTCAGTAGAAACGATTGCATTCTGTGGGCTGCCCCAGAGATGGCGGGCCATTATTAACGCCGCCCCTGTCCTGACAACGCTATTTTCTAAAAGGTAATTGCAGATTCAGATCTCTGAGAGGAGCCTGACTGAGAGTAAATGCCACCCCTTTAATTGCGCTCTTCACTATTGAGCGGTGGCAGCGGCGGAGATGTCTATCGCTCCACGGGATCCAGGGCAAAATGACTGTAATGGGAAATGACCAGTGTCTGGGAAGCCGGCTCAGATTAAAAGCGACGTTTTCTAATTGACGGCAAAGAAATCCCCCGGCCGGATGACTGCGAAAAGTCACTTTGGAGCAAATGTAATTGGAGTGATAGGAGTTCTAACAGGAATCTCAGGGATAATCTCTCCTGATTTCAGCGAGCGTGCCACAACAACAGCGCGAGAAGTGCCAGAGAAAATCATATTGAGTCAAGGTGACACTCGAAACCTGGATTATCTCTCAAAAAACTCTATTCACATCCTCCATGTTGTATAACTATTGAAAGTTGGAACATTTAACACTTAGCCTATCTGTTAGGAACACAAGTGGCTGCCTTCTTTAGTTGAGAACTAACAACAGAATCATTAAACCTTTGCGTTGCCTTTGCAGAACTTCATGAAGAAAATTAAAGTTTACAAATAAGCAATTAAAATAGTAATTAAAACTAATACAATAATAACAGATAAGACACACTGGCAGCCACAACAGTGTTTTGATGCAACACCTTCTGTGCAAAAACAGTGATAAGCCAAGTTAATTTGGCTGCAATAGAGAACTAATAATACACAACAACACTGCTGGAATAATCAATATGTTATTTGAGTAATTCTGTGTTACCACTTCAAAGACGCCATTTTTGTTCCGATAAATTAATATCTCTTTACAAATAGATAGACATGGATGTACTAATTATGGGAACTATCTCACTTAAAGCTGCATTATGCAACATTTTGTGGAAAAAAGTATACATTTTCTAAGTATTTGACCTTGTAGTGACCCAGTGCCTGTGAGAATGGTTAGAATTGTGTTTTTACTTTTGATCAGGGTCCACAGAGCTAAAGGATCAATTGTTTTGTAAGTTTTCTGAAAACCACCAAAACAATTGTTCCTATAACATTCAAGAAACCGCTGTGATGGAAAGTGTAGGCATCACGTTTACTCCTCATTCAGCCATTGGGTCACTTCTTTCTATTTTCTACTTATTTTACTCTTTTCCCACATAATAATTTGCATAGCGTCTATGTAGATGAGGAACTTTACCAGCTTCTTCAGAGTCTGTCATAAATAATTTTGACTTAACTTTGAATTTTGAATGAGTCATTTTCCGGGTTTCACATGTAACTAGGTTGTTACTCTCGCAACAATTTTCACAAGAATATTTTTTGGCTTCAAAGGTATAGCTTAAAGGTTCTTCCAATAAGACAAAAGTGTAAATTGTTAATTAAAAGTGCTAATTAGCATACATTTCTGCCTTCGTCTGAGTTGACAGATGATGGTGTGACCTGTTGTTACTGTATGCGGTCAGCTCGGCAGATCCTTCAGACTGACCACGCCCCTGACCGCACTGTGGTCTCTGAAGAAGTGAGTCCCAAGTGTGAGCCAAGGTGAAGGCCCCCCTTGTCTCTGTTGATGGTCCGTGGCCCCGATTCCTAATTTCAATCATCTCTCGTCTCCATATTGTGTTTGTGTTCTTTTGTACCTACTATTTTTGCATTGTCCCAGTCCAATATATGATTTTCAGCGGTCAGATTTTTCTGATTGGAGGTTTTCCTGTGTTCCTTAGTCTTGCTAGATGCGCTGCCATTTTCTTTTATGGGCTCTATCACAGCTTTAGAACCACCTTTCACATGATTTAGAACCACCTTTCACATGATATTCACACAATGAACAATTTTCAGTTAATGTGTATAAAAGAAATACAAAATCAGGTTCAGATTGATAATAATTTCATCAAAAACCAATATATTTAAAATGATGACAAGCGTCCAGATGAGCCAACAATCAAAACAACTTAATGTGGGATATATGTTTGGGTTTTAGTCTCAATTTTGCTGCTCCAAATCCATCACGGCCATAACACATCTCCTGCTCTTTGTGTCTGTCTGTCCATTAGTCCACATTGAGCTCCGAGGCCGTTGCTGAGCTCTTCCAAACGCTGCCAAACGCTGAAATGACACAGTAATAACCACATCTGTCTTGTGTCCAGGCCTATTGACATAACATTACAGGTAGCAGATTGTTTGTGTTGTGGAGTGTGTCTCTCTGATAGGAGCGCACGAGTCGGGATCAGTGCTTTTCTGAGCCGGTGCTGAGCTGCCGTGACAGATCACCGCAGCCGTAACTGGATTTGTCACCTGAGATTTGGACAAAATATGTTTGTTGTATGTACCCCTAAAAGGAAATGTCTTCTGAACCAAAAACATTGCGCTAAAATAGAATATGTTCATGCTTTTATTTAAGAATATATTGATCCTAATTTGCTAAATTCTTATCAGCTGGTCATTTTTAGTGTACAAGCAATTCCCGTTCACAATATACCAGGTGAGACTCCGAACATCACATCAAAGCCCTTTACCATCCCCATCCATTCAACCACTCATTACACTCAGGCCTATTGTGCAAGTTGTACCAGTCTTTAGTAGTAGGGGAAACCGGAGCACCTGGAGGAAACCTACGCCAAACATCATGCAGAAAGGCCAAAACCTGGATCTTCTTGCCGCGAAGCACAAACACTAAGCTCTTTGCCCCCCAGGTATGATAATGACATTTTGTTTGCCAGTATATAATTTATTCTTAATCTCGTTTCAGATTTAATTGTTTGTCCAGACATCGCTTCCAGCCTTTTTTGGGAATAAAAAAGGCTGAAAAGGTTTGCAGTCCAGCTTTTTTTTCTTTTTTACATTAAACTTGTATTGAATTTAATCTTTTTTTGGTGTCTGCATTTCATCATCTGGTCGTTATAACAGAACATTCCCTCAGTAGATGATTCACATAGTAGACACAACTAGAAATGGTACAATGGCTGAAGCCATTGTGAGTGGCTGCATAGATGTTGGAAGGGTTAGGGATGAAGAAGGAAGAGGAAGGGGAAGAAGAAGGAAGAAGAAAGAAAAGGGAAGAAGAGGAAAGAAGAAGGAAGAGGAGGAGGAAGAAGAAGAAGGGGAAGAAGAAGAAGGGGAAGAAGAGGAAGAAGAGGAAGAAGGGGAAGAAGAGGAAGAAGGGGAAGAAGAGGAAGAAGAGGAAGAAGAGGAAGAAGGGTAAGAAGAGGAAGAAGGGGAAGAAGAGGAAGAAGGGGAAGAAGAGGAAGAAGTGAAGATGAAGAAAGAAGAATGTGTTGTAAGGGGCTGAAAGTGTTGTAAAGTGCTGAATGTGTTGTAAGGTGTTGTAAAGTGCTAAATGTGTTGTAAAGTGCTGAACGTGTTGTAAAGTGCTGAATGTGTTGTAAAGTTCTGAATGTGTTGTAAAGTGCTAAATGTGTTGTAAAGTGCTAAATGTGTTGTAAGGTGTTGAATTTGTTGTAAAGTGCTAAATGTGTTGTAAGGTGTTGAATGTTTTGTAAAGTGCTAAATGTGTTGTAAGGTGTTGAATGTGTTGTAAAGTGCTAAATGTGTTGTAAGGTGTTGAATTTGTTGTAAAGTGCTAAATGTGTTGTAAGGTGTTGAATTTGTTGTAAAGTGCTAAATGTGTTGTAAGGTGTTGAATGTGTGTTAAAGTGCTAAATGTGTTGTAAGGTGTTGAATTTGTTGTAAAGTGCTAAATATGTTGTAAGGTGTTGAATGTCTTGTAAAGTGCTAAATGTGTTGTAAGGTGTTAAATGTGTTGTAAAGTGCTAAATGTGTTGTAAGGTGTTGAATGTGTTGTAAAGTGCTAAATGTGTTGTAAGGTGTTAAATGTGTTGTAAAGTGCTAAATGTGTTGTAAGGTGTTGAATGTGTTGTAAAGTGCTAAATGTGTTGTAAGGTGTTGAATGTGTTGTAAAGTGCTAAATGTGTTGTAAGGTGTTAAATGTGTTGTAAAGTGCTAAATGTGTTGTAAGGTGTTGAATGTGTTGTAAAGTGCTAAATGTGTTGTAAGGTGTTGAATTTGTTGTAAGGTGCTGAATGTGTTGTAAGGTGTTGAATTTGTTGTAAGGTGCTGAATGTGTTGTAAGGTGTTGAATTTGTTGTAAAGTGCTAAATGTGTTGTAAGGTGTTGAATGTGTTGTAAAGTGCTAAATGTGTTGTAAGGTACACACACACACACACACACACACACACACACACACACACACACACACACACACACACACACACACACACACACACACACACACACACACACACACACACACACACACACACACACACACACACACACACACACACACACACATCCAATGCAGTGGAGAAAAACCCTTTCCTCTGGCCATGACTCCGGTGTATTTCTCAGTGACTTGAACTCCTCCTCAGGTGTCCGTGCTCAGACAAGTGCAGCCGCTCACCTGTGACTTTGACGCCGTCGGAGCGTTGACACCAGACCGCTCTGTGGTTGTTGCTCCACGCTCCGGTCCTCCACTGGTAACTTTGACACTTCCCTCCTGGAGCAGCGGAAAAACCACAATACTCTCATTAGTCAGGAGTGCGGGACACACGATCCCCTATCCCCAAGTCTGTGTCGTAACCACCACCGACACAACCCCTCGGGCTGGACGTTGGTACTGAGTGACCGGATAAAGACTGGGTATATATTATGTTTTTTTTTTCTGCTTTTTTAATTCATACCAAATTGTAAAATGAACCTGAATCATCCAAAGTTTATGAGGTTTAAAAAATAATCATCAGAAAGCACCAACCACTCAATGATTTTAACTTTGATTTTATCCTTACTATTTTTAATGCACTATAGCTATTTATGATTTTAAAATCATGAATGCATTTTTAATTACTTTTGTGATCTAATTTTTTATGTTTTTAGAAATGCCTTATGATCGTATTGTGTGTCTTTAATGCGCAGTGGTATTTTAATAGTATTTCTTTTAATGTTTCTACAGATTGATACATATACTACATAGATATTTATGATTTATGCTTGATGTGATGTGGGTTGTGAGGCGCTTTGTGTTGCCAAAATGCTGTCGGTCTGAGCAATGGCATCTTATACAGGCAAATAATATTACCTCAAACATGCCCATCCATAGATCACTCTAAAATCAACTTTGAGTGTGTAAATGATGAGGGAAGATCCCTTTATGATGAGGGAAAACCTTTATGATTAAACGCTCAAATGAATGATGTTGCCTGTAGGAGGAAAGCGGCTGCAATTAAACTAAAATATAACCAATCTTAAGCCTATAGAAATGATTCACAAACCACTAAATGGTTGATACAGCATGAATGAATTGCGTGTCAAGATGAGTGACAAAAGAACCAGTGGGGTATGTCCACAACTGTCCCTTTAGCTTCCTCCCCCTATTACCCCAAAGTACAGAAGATAAAAGAGATGAGACCATATGTCATACATGGTAATTTACGTGAGCAGATATATTCATTATTTTCTTAAGCAGAGAGATGTTAACCTAAATGGCTCTGTGGTATTGGACAAAGACATAGATAAAGCAGAGTCAAGTAACACTTTGAAATGCAGCTCTGAAACTCAACATATTTCACACTTGAGCAATTCAAAAAGAAATGCCAGGTACCTAGCAATTATGGTTTTTATAATGCGGTTTTATAAGGTGGCAATTCATGAGGTGAAAGAGGTCACAGCGAGAGGCCAGTAATCCTTTCACATAAATGCAGGCAAAAACGAAAAGCTTTATTCAAAATAGACTTTAAACTACACGACACTTCTCAAATCTATGCTTAATGATAGCTTGGCCGGTCGCTTTTTTGCTGTAAACCATGAACATTGGTTATATATTGTTGAGCAGCTGGGAAAGTACTCTGAAATTGCAGCCACTGTGCCATTACCTTTGCATGGCTGCGTTTCAAACACTTGATGTGGGCAGCTGGCCTGGCTCTCCATGACCTGAACCACCACGGCCCTGGAGCGCGCCTGACGACCGCTCGCCTCGAA